TAGGATATTTTCGGATGACCCAGGCATGAATTCTATTCCTGTGTGACCCTCTGCTTTCTAGATGGTCCCCGTTTTGAGGAGCTGAGCTGCCCCAGCAATTGGACTTGGGTGGAAGGATCTGGGCGGCTGTTTTCTTGTGAGGTCGATGGGAGGCCGGAGCCAAGCGTGCAGTGTATCGGCTCCGGGGGCACCAGTGAGGGGGTGCCTCTGCCACTGGCCCTCCCAGAGCCCAGTCCCAGAGTGCCCAGCATCCCAAGTGAACTGCCTCCCGGAGTCTACATCTGCAACGCCACCAACCGGCACGGCTCCATGGTCAAGACAGTCTCCGTGAGCGCGGAGTGTGAGCAGGGCCCAGGCGGTTGGGGAGTAGCGGGTGCCCCGGGGTCCGGGCCCCTCCCTGACGACCCCGTGGCTGCTTTGCAGCGCCGCCGCAGATGAATGAGTCCACCTGTCCAAGTCACCAGACGTGGCTAGAAGGGGCCGAGGCTACCTCCCTGGCTTGCGCCGCCCGTGGTCGCCCCTTCCCGCAAGTGCGCTGCTCCCGAGAGGGCGTACCCCAGCCTCAAAGGCTGCGCGTGTCGCGAGAGGATGCAGGCACCTACCGCTGCTTGGCCACCAACGTGCACGGCACCGAGGCCAGGACTGTCACCGTGGGAGTGGAATGTGAGTGACAGCAGCACTAGAGAGAAGGCCCGCGGTCCCCAGAACAGTGACTTGCAGCGCTGGGATTGCCCAGGGGAGTTAAAGGGCACTTCACTCAGTCCCATTTTTTAGTACAAGGAATCCCAACCTAAACCTGAGGGTAATGAAAACTAGGGAACAGGAGCCCGGCCCCTCTCAAGTTCTGGGTCAGAAGGGCGTTGGTGCGGGTCCCCACCTTCTCCCATTCCGTGAAGCAAAGAGCGGGATTTTAGTCCAGACAACAGCCCGATTGTAGCGTCTGGTAGCTCTGATGGGAGCAGGATTCTTGCCTGCCTGTCTGGGGAGGGATGGTCTCAGGTTGCAGGGGGGTGGAAGGAGAGCACGTGGTCGGAGGCTGCGCGGGCGCTGAGCACTCCCTGTCCAACCTCCTGCCCTTGCAGACCGGCCGATAGTGACGGAGCTGGCCGCCTCGCCTTCAGGAGGCGTGCGGCCAGGCGGGAACTTCACGTTGACCTGCCGTGCCGAGGCCTGGCCTCCCGCCCAGATCAGCTGGCGCGCGCCCCCGGGGGCGCTCAACATCGGCCTGTCGAGCAACAACAGCACGCTGAGTGTGGCGAGCGCCATGGGCAGCCACGGCGGCGAATACGAGTGCGCGGCCACCAACGCCCATGGGCGCCACGCGCGGCGCATCACCGTGCGCGTGGCTGGTGAGTGGCAGCTGGCGGACGGGGTGAGCGATTTGCAGGAGGCGTGGCCTGCGCCCTCGGACTTCCTGACCCGGGCCCTGCCTCCCTATCAGTCCCCACCAGATAAGACTGAAATAAATCAGGTAGAAGACAGGGGACCCCGAGCGGGTGGGGATTTAACGGCAGGTTGAGGGTGGGAGGTGGAGGGGTGTGACTGTTAATTTGAGCTGAGTTCTTCGTGGTGGAGACCTAATCCAGTTCACCCTCCTCCACTGTGTCACTGTGAAGGGATTTTGGAGAGGAATCAGGGACAGAGGATGGGGTGGGGGTCCCAACTGGATCCCCTCCCCTACTTCGTGTATCTCTGGGGCTGGGGTCTTTCTGGGGTAAAGGAATGACCCCGCGCCCATCCCTACCCTCATTCTTTTGAGGGTGAGGAGAGTTAGTTGGCATGTGGGTATCCCTGGGGCTGGAGGCTCAGAGCCCTATGGGCTGCTGAAGTACCATGTAAAATGAGTCTGGGGTAGCACTGGCGCTGGGAGTGGCCTTACTGGAGTCACCTCTCCTCTGGGGTTCCCTGCAAGGTCTATAAGAGCTGACCGTGTGCCTGTGGAGAGGGGACAGAGGTGACCAGGGCGTGGCGTCCCGTGGTGTGGTGGTGGTGGGGAATCCTGAGCTGCTCCACCCTCTCAGAGTTTCCATCCCGTAGGTCCGTGGCTGTGGGTCGCCGTAGGCGGTGCGGCAGGGGGCGCAGCGCTGCTGGCTGCGGGGGCCGGCCTGGCCTTCTACGTGCAATCTACGGCCTGCAAGAAGGGCGAGTATAATGTACAGGAGGCCGAGAGCTCGGGCGAAGCCGTGTGCCTCAACGGCGCAGGTGGCTCGGGCGGGGGCACTGGCGTAGAAGGTGGAACAGAGGCTGCGGGCGCCGCGGAGGCGCCTGCAGGGGGAGAGGTCTTTGCTATCCAGCTGACCTCAGCGTGAGCCCGCTTCCCTTTCCCCGCGGGCCGGGGGATGCCCCATAGACTCACACTGGGGCTTATTTATTTTATTTATTTATTATTCACTTCGAAGGGCATCACTCCCCTTTTCTTCTCCACCCCAATAAAATTTTTATAAGGGACATCCTGTCGGTCTGCTTAATTCTCTGAGATGTGGGAGCAGTCCAGGGTTTGTATCCCAAGCCCGCGGGTTATTCATACAAAGCTCTGCTTTTGTTTTTGAGGGCCTACTGTGTGTCCGGCCCAATCCAGGCTGCCTTGTCATGGTGTGACCTGGAGCTCGTGTTCTCCTTGCCCCTGTTTCCTGCTCTGACCAGACCCTTGGGCCGGGGTGGGGATTCCTGCTCCTTCCTCCCTTTCTCCACAGCTTATCTCTTCCGTGCAGCACTGCCCTCTAATCCGGCTACCTTCTGGGCGTGGGAGCTGGTGCTTCCCCCAGGCCTGGTTCTGGGCACAGCTCAGGCTGCCTTCCCAGGATGGGTGGGGCCCCTTCCCAGAGGTCTGGCCATTGGGTCCCTGCTCTCAGGCCTGGCCAGACAGGGGCTGCAGCTATGGGTGCCCGTCCTATTAAAAGGTGCACCCCTGCCCCACCCTCAACCTTCCTCCATCGTGCGTCTGCCCACTGTGCCTCCGTGTACTCCCAACCTGCCTTTCAACTGGTCTCATTGGGGTTCAGAAAAATGGAACAGGAAATCAGCTGCAACCTGCAATGTGCACCACCCTCCCCCACCTCCCTACTCCCTGCATAAGGAGAAAGCAGCTAGGCCTCCCCCCACCACAAGTCTCCTCCTCCCCGAAAAGCAGGAACAGAGCCTGAGGGAAGGAAGCAGCCCTGGAAGCTCCAGCACCATCAGCTGCCCACTGGAAATATTTCATGAGCAAAGAAGAGAGCCGGTAAAAGGGGCACTAAAGGCCACGCCAGTGCCAGGGACAGGAGACAACAAGGTGCGAGGGTGGGGCAGCCCTGCTGTCCCATCCCCCACCTTACCTCTCTGCTTCCACTGGCCACCTGGTGGTTTCTTGAGCCCCATGAAGTCCTGCCTGCCACAGGACCTTTGCTCTTGTCATTCCTCTGCCTGCAGTGTCCTCACCTCAAACAGTACCATAGCTAGTTCTTTATCCTGTGTCTCACTGAAAATAGCACCTCCTCAGAGAGGCCTTCTGCAAGAACCATGGCTAGGGTAGCTCCCAGCTCTGCCTTCCATACTTTAGTTTTTCTGTAGCAGCAATCACTACTTGATATTCTGTTAGTTAATTGAATCTCTGTCTACTGTTGCTCTCTAATATTGGCTTCGCTAGGGCATGGATCGTTATCAGTGTTCCCACTGGGGCCTGGTGCATAGTAGTTGCTCAGTAAATGCTGAATAAATGGATAAAAGCCATGAGTTTGCATAGTCTGAGAACTTCATGTGTTCAATGTATATCCCCACAGAGCTTCTCCACACCAGGCAGTGGGGTGGCCTGTCATGGTCAGGGGCGCTGATGTGGCAGTGGCTTTGAACCTCAGAAGTCGTGCCCAAGGAGCGCAGATGAATGCGAAATAGTCCTGATTCAGTAGAAAACTGAAAATTCTGGGAAGTTCTAAGAGGGAAACTAGTGAGGGGCTGAATGACCACCTGATGTGGCATGGGAGTCGGGTGTCTATTTTTGACTAGGTGGTCAAGAAAGGCACAGTGTTTGGGGCTGATCACCGCCCTCCCCCACCCCCGCCACCTCAAATGATGAGAAGGTGGCAGCTCTGTAAGCTGTCAGGGGCGGGTGTTCAGGGTTGAGGAAGGGTGGGATGGCAGGGGTCAGGGATCTGAAAGGGGAGGGATCTGGGGCCAGGCCTTCCTCCCAGGCCCACCCAGCAGAGACAAAGGGGGTCTCACCTTCCTGGGGCGTGTGGCCAGGCAGGTCTCTCCCCCGCCGGAGGGACCACAGCTGTCCTGGCTTCCACTGCTCCCACCCTTGATTCCCATCTCCTACCTCCCTGTCCATGACCACTGGTGGCCTGTGTGTCCTGGAAGATAATGGTAGGGCTGAGCTCTGCCCAGGGCCCAACTCAGGTTGGGGACACCCCATCAGAATCCCAGAGATTCAGATTCTCCTTTGGGGAGACAGATCGGAGGAGGACACAGCAGAGACTGGTATGTATGAGGACACAGGCAGGTGACAAGCTGCAAGCAGGAGTGGAGCTGGCAGATGAAGGGCCCACTGTGTGTCACTGTGTCATGTGTGGGGTTCCTGTGTGCAGATGTGTATGTCTATCAGCAGATGTGTGTCATCAATGCATGTGTCTTTCTGTCTTGGTCTCTGTGTCTCACGGGAGGATCTGTTGAGAGAGAGAGAGAGAGAGAGAGAGAGAGAGAGAGAGAGAGAGAGAGAGAGAGAGAGAGAGTGTGTGTGTGTGTGTGTGTGTGTGTGTGTGTGTGTGTGTCCATGTCTGTCCATCTCTGTGTGTGATGGCTGTTTCCCTGTATGATACTCCGTGGTGAATGTAGCTAATTCCCTGTGGAGGGCTGGTATCCGAATATATGACTCTGTGTGTGTGTTGTGGCCTTCAGAACCCCAGTGAGAAAACACCTGCCCTCACATTCTCTGGATCAGGGAGAGGCAGGGAGGGTGTGCAGGTGGGAACCCCGGAGTCACAGAGCTCCTTCTCTGAGTAGTTCTGCTCTTTATTGGTATTCATGTTAACAAAACTGAGTGTCACAGCTGAGAGCATTTCCTGAGCAGACGCTCAGCCAAGCCTGGCTGGAGCAGAGGCAATGGAGGCCAGTTGACCCCCTGAGACAGGGGCCCTGGGGCCTGAGGCCTGGGTCTTCCACCTGGGATCCCTGAATGGGGAAGGGGCGGAGAGGAAGCAAGTTAGACCCCTCAAGAACCTAGCGTTCTTCCCCATTCCTCCTAGGAGGGCTTCTGCCCATTCTCCCCCCTGGAGAAACTGAGGCAGCAGAGGCTTGGCTGGGTGAGGAAGGGCTTACCCATCCTGAGCTGTGCCTTGGTGGGGGCCCAGGGATACCCCGCATCTGCCACATAGCCTCTTGGGCTGGATATTTTTCCTGGGCACCAGCCAGCAGCTGGAGCACCGGGTGCCATATTTCTTATACCTGGAATAGGGGTACAAGAAACCAACATCAGGATGCAGGAGGGGCCCAGAAACCGCCACAAAGGAACCACTTCCCAGAATCCCAAGTTGGGATGATTTGGGCCCCCCTCTCCAAACCCCACTCCATCCTCCATTCTGAGGACCTGATACCACAGGCATTGCAGAGAGGAGTCCCATCTTCCGCATCTCTCCAAAGTGGGGTCCTCTGGGTCTTACAGGAAGCACAGCGCCGGGGCCCTGAAGAGGCAGAGGTCAAAGGGTAGAGGTCAGAGACCAAGAGTCCGAGCTTAGGGGGCCTGTCTGGAGTAGGGCATTTTGTGGGGGTCTCTGTGAAGTTCCCCACCCCTGGGCTCTGGGCCAGCTCTGGGTGTTGCCAGATCTAAGACAGAGGGGAAGCCAGGAAGGGAGACAGATGGTACAGCTCGGCAGAGGAGGAATCTGGAGGTGGGGTGACTCAGCCCGACTGGAGCGGGGAGCTGTGACTCCTGGATGGGTCTAAATGGGGAAGGAGGATGGGAGAAAGACAGGGAAGACAGGAAATTGCCCCCACCCCCAACACTTACTGCTCTCAGGCGTCCGGGACTCACCCAGAGCCTCACTGCCTCTGGAGCTGGCCTCAGGGCCCCCGGCAGGGACTGCAGGGGGCCCTGGAGAGCTGCTGCTGCAGGCCAGGCTGGGAAGTAGACAAGTCGTCAGCATGTGTCCCATGCCGGGCAGCTCCCCAAAATGAGATTTACTATTAAGGTAACAGGCATTCCCTGGGGAAATATCTGATGTCTGAAAGGCCTGGCTTTGCCCCTCACTGCTCAAAAGAACAAGGATTATCATTTGGAGAGGTGAGAAGCCTGGGGCCAGCCTAACAGCTTCAAATCCCATTTCTCCTATGTCCTCTCTGTGTGACCCTGAACAAGTGAATCTGTCCTCTAGGCCTCAGTTTCCACATCTGTAACATGGGCTTCAAAGAGCTCCAGTGAGCCCACATACACCAAGTGCTACCTGTTACCTCTTATTGTTGTTGTTCCTGATAAACCGTAGCCATTATCATTATTGGAAAAACTGAACAGCAGCAGCCCTCAGGATGGTCAGGCCCTTCTTATAAAAAGGACTTGGGTTTAGACCTGGACATGAGTGGCTTACAGCTGCGGGGCTGGGACTGGCACCAGTCTGATGTCTTGCCCAGAGACTGGGTCATTTGTAAAGCAGGGCTGGTGCAGGAGTCCAGGAGCAGATGCGTGGAAGCCCCTGCCCCCACCATTATCATAAATACTCGCACGAAGGGCCCAGTCCTGGGCCGCCCCCTACCTGTAGCTGTGTATGATCTGTAGGCTGGAATCCGGATTTATCTGAAACTTCAGAGTCACCCCCTCGAACTGGGGATCCACTTTCTCAGCACCCTGCTGGGGGTTCGACTGCTTCCGGGGCCTCCTCTGGGCTGGGGGAGCCTCCCAGGACCCCAGGCTGTGGCGTTGCTGGCTGATTGGGATCAGCATGTTTCTGGCATCCTGGGCCAGGGGTAGGGGTCGCAGAGTCCCCAGGGCCTTCAGCTCCCAGCAGGGCCCCAGGGCCTGGGTGTCCCCCCAGTTGGGGGGGCCCTCTGCCGTCTCTTGGAGGAAGCTCAGGCCAGTGACTGAGTCCTGGCATGCAGACCAGAAGGACCTGGGGACAAGGGGTCGTATGACCTCACCTTCCCTCAGTAGTACCTATATAAGCCTCAAAGACGTGGGCTGAGGGGGATTGTGGCCTCTGACCCCCATGTGACCCAAAGTATCCTTGGGGACTAGAACCTCTCTTTTGTAAATACCAGTAACTAACATTGTGACCCCTGGGTAACCCCAGGAGCCCGAGGTCTTGGTGCTTTGACCACTGGATGGGTCAGGTTCCGGGAAGGGGCTTCTCATTAACGCACCTGCCACTTGGTCTGCCGCATCCTGGGGTCCTTGGTGCCTGCTGGACAGGGGAGTCTGGGGGCAGCTTGGGGTCCAGACGGGGCTGTGCCAGCAGCCCTCGCAGCTTCAAGAAGTCCGGGGCAGGATCGGCCTCCATCGAACTCCAGCTCGCCCCCACTTCCCAAATCAAGCCCGTCCTTGTTCCTGCCCCGGGGGCCACCCAAACAGCCGCACCTGTAGGGGGCGGTACCCGCCGGTCAGGCGCTCCAGGCAGAGGGCGCAACGTACCCCACCTGAGCAGGTGAGGCGGGGCCTGCAGGGCCCCACACCCCGGGCAGGCGATGCCAGGTGCCCACTTCCACACGCCCACCCTCGGGCCTGCACACCCCTCTTCTCAGGTGGCTTGCACACCTCTCGCCGCCAAGGGCGGCCTAGGCCCCTCCGAATCCCTCCGCGGCTTCTGGGGCGGGGCGTTGCACGCTAACCCACGTGGGCTCTCAGACTCGTAGGCCTTCTTCAGGCACGGGTTTACAGGCCTCCGCCACAGTTCCCCACGGGCCCCATCACTGCCGTGGAAGGGGAGAGCTGGGAGTCTAGTAGATACAGTGTAGACCCTGTGGTCGGGCCTCCCCCGCCCCCACAAGAACACAAAAGTCCTGGAAGTCTGTGAAACAGTTTTATTGTCACTCCAACTCAATTCCACCCATCTACACTCCCACCCTCAGGAGTTTGGGGGCAGTCACCCCAGCAGGGGCCCTGTCCGCCACCAGAGCCTGGCCATGGGGTCTCTCTGAAGCAAGGGCTTTGTTTGGTCTTCTGGATGCTTCTGACATGTCTCTCCGGCCTGTCCAAGCTCTGGGCTGGGCTGGCAACTTAGCTCTTCCTCCAGTCCTGGTGCTGGGGCCATGGGTATCTGGGACCATGGGGGTCCAACTGCCCGTGTCAGTGGGGCTTGGGCACATGGCCGTCCACGTAGAAGTTCCTGGTGATCTTGGGGAGGGTGAATTCAGCTCCTTCCAGCTCAGGCGTGAGCACAATCTGGCAGCCCAGCCTGGAGTTCTCCTGGAGGAGGGGGGCCATGTCCAGCATGTCGTCCTCCCTGGGGCAAGGAGGGCAGCAGTTAGCAGTGGGCACACTGGTCCAGCTGTTAAGGGCACAGAGGGCAGGAAGGAGGCACCTCTCAGGCTGTTGGTTTGGGAAGGGGTGGCAGCAGGCTGAGTCTGGGGGAGCAATCAGAAGAGCAGTAGCCCTGCCAGCAGCTGGAGGGGGGAGAAGAGCTGGGGTTGCCCAGGGGACAACGAAAATGCAGAGGCTCAGCGGCCAAACTCTGCAACCTAGAGCTGGGAGGGGCCGCTCTGCTCACCTTTCATCAGGAGGAGGCAGAAGGTCCAGGTGGTCCTCACTTACGTAGACGTGGCAGGTGGAGCAGGCCAGGGAGGCTTCACAGGCCCCTGGGGGCAACAAGTGAGGGAATGCCGGTGAGGGGCACAGTCAGGCAGGTGCCATTTGGTGAAAGACGTTAAGGAGAAGCCCTTTGTTTCTCCCTGCTGCCCCCACCTTTCCCTCCCTGGCCTGCACACCCTCCCTGTCATTTACTCAGCTACCTGTTCCTGAGCTGTGTCTGGGTTTTGCAAGGGGATGTTCAGGATGTCCTGTTTCCCAAGACTCCCCAGTAGGCTGAGGACCAGGCTAGGTGCTTGGAACCACTGAGTGTAGATTTGACTTTGGTGTAGCTCAGAGGTGAAAGACCCGGCAGGATCCCTGGAGTCTGGGGGGCTTTGCTGAAACCCTGTCACTGTGCTGGGCAGATGTGTTCCCTTTTCCCTGTTGCTCCTGAAGGAAGTACAGGCTCATCTGGTGTGGCAGAAAAAGGGTCAAGGAATAAGAGTTGACAGATGCAGAAGGTGGGGTTTTATGCTTGCCCCTGCATATATTCTCGACTTTTGGATTGATCCCCAATTACTGTGCTTGGGAATAATGTCCCCCCTACCCCCCAGCCTAAAACCCTCCAAAGGGTTTTCACGGCAGCATAAAATCCAAATTCTGTCACTCAGTCCTTGAGAGTCTCCCACCTCTCCCCAACTCATTCCACTTCAGTCACACTGGCTCCCTTGCTCAACTCCAACACACTAAGTTCATCCCCACCACAGGACCTTTACACTTGCTGTACTCTTGGTCTGGAATACTCTTCCCTCCACTTTCTCCATGGCTAGATCCTTTTTGTCTTCCATGACTCAACTGTGCCCCAGATCCCCCACTTCTTGTTTCTTATCCATCCCCACCTCCTCGAATGATTAAATCAGGTCCCCTGTTACATTCAACCAATAAATAACCCTGTATATTTTTTTCAGACCACCCTGCCCACTTGTTCACTATATGATTACATGTCTATGTGGGAATATTGTCCCTAATATATTGAAATTAGTGCTAAATGACAGGGACCTAATCTGTTTTGTGTATCACTACCTGGCAAACAGTAGGTATGCAGTATTCACAGAAGAGCAGCACTAAGGTTAGTGGCTAAAACACGCTGGGTTTGAATCTAGTTTTGACATTTACTTGAACTTGGGCCTGGTCTACTTAACCTGGGACTCAGTCTCCTCATCTATAAAATGAGATAACAATATCCTCTATGGCATAAAGTTGTCATTGAAGACTCAACCTGTTAATGTGTATTTAACACACTTCAAGTAAAGACCACTGTTTCTTTCCTTCAACAAATACTGATAATAACACCTGTTACATCTAAATAGCCACACACGTAACTGATAAGTATGAATAAGGTAAACAGGGTGTCTCATCTCATCCTGGGGAGAGATGACAAAAAGGAAAGAAAACTGTAAGACGTACCAGGAAGACAATAGAACGCCCTGATATGGTGGAGTGCCTGGGCACAGGGACTTAAGCTGGGCTGAGAAAGATGATGTTTATGTTGAGACTGGAAGGATGCAAAGAAGCTAGAAGATGGGGTGGGAAAGCCATTCAGATGGGAACAGCAAGTGCAAAGGCCCTGAGGCAGGGATAAACTTGGCAGTTTGAGGAACAGCAAGATAGCCAGTGTGACTGGGCTCTAAAGGAAGGAGGGAAAGAATGCAAACTCCCAGAGGGCAGTTCTAGAACCTCTAGTAAATGATCTATAATTGCTGAAAGAATGAAGGTTAAGAGCTGGCCAGGGGATGAGATCAGTGGTGAGGAGTCTGGATTTTAACCATGTCTGGTGGGCAGCCATGTTAGGGTTAAGTAGTGTAGAGACTTATCTGATGTGTGGGTTTTGTTTTAACGAATCAAGAGGACCTCCCCAATTCCCTGTGCCCGGCTCCCACCTTCCAGGTCCACCCCATGGCGCTGGGCCAGGTGTAGAACATTGTCCCCAACTCTGCCGCTCACCGGAATCCGCTGGCCTGACCGGTCTACAAACACCACGTTCACCCTGAGGACAGATGGGGGTGCGGATGCCGAAATGGACGATGGCCCGGGGCCCTGGTGGAATCTAGGGTTAGGAAGGTGGGGTTGAGGCTTGATGGATAGGGGAGTAGGGCAACGCAGAACGGGGAACCTGGGACGGGGAATGCAGGAGACTCGTGGGATGAGGGGCGGGGTACTTGGCCCCCCACACTCACACGTCCCCGGGCCGCTCGGGACCACCGGCTTCCTCCTCCCGCGCTGGGCTCGAGCCTAGAAAACGGTTGGGTGAGCGGTCGCTCCCCGCCCTAAGTCCGACAGGTTAACACCGACCCCCCTTAAGGCGCCCCAGGTACCTGTCACCCGGAATTTCCTGACTGTCGCCGGCGCTGCCACCTCCCCCGTCCCCCAAAAGGCCCCAGGGCGGCTCCACCAGGCACCCCTGGCTGCCCACAGGAGGAACCCCGCATTCACGCCGCCCCGCGACACGGAAGCGGCCATGACAGACGTCACGTGACCCGCGAGCTAGACATGCTCAGTGGAGGACAGGAAGGCGAAGGGCCCGTAATTACCCAAATAAAAGTGCGGGTATTTGCAGAGCAGCCGAGGGGGGAGCGCAGCAAGACCTACGGGGCCATCCCAACCTCCCACCCAGGCCATCTGTCCCAAGAACCAGGCAGCTCTGCTTTTTTTAAAACCATTTACTTAACAAACTTTAATTCAGCAAAGGTCTGTGTGAGAAGGTTGGGGAGAGGACACCCCCCTGGAGTGAATATGGAACCCCCCAGAATCAGGGAAGGGAAGCTGGTGGCTCAGCTGGCCAGGGGCAGGGCCTAGGGTCAGCTCAGGCTGACAGGTCCTGCTGGTGCACAGGGGCAGAACTTCCTGCATGGAGTTGATGGATTCTGGCACTGGAACAAAGGGAGGCCAGGAGGCCAGCTCCAGAAGACATGGCTGGGGGGATGGAGAACTGGTGCTTATATTCAACACTGTGGGGAGAGAGCAGAGGCTGAGTGAGATGCACAATACCCAACTCCCAGAACAGTGGGACAGCAGGGGGACTGGTCTAAGCCAGCAGAGAAAGCCTATCTCTGCACCTAGACCTGGGCAGGGTGATGGTGGAGTTGGTTTGCCAAGACCAAGCTTTGGCCTTCTGCTGTCACCAGGGTGGGGACCCTGGGTGAAGGGCCCATTAATCCCCAAGCCAGAGCCATTTGGTCCTGAGTCAAGCTTCCAGAGCTCGGCATCTGAGAGGCTCTGGCCAGTGGGGCCTGGGGCCTGGCTTTAAGGCATCAGGAAGTGAGGGGATTATGGCAGGGAGCCAGGGACCCGGAGCTGGAGTACAGGCCAGGGTGGGAAGGGACAGCCATGCCTGCAGCAGACATGGGAAGACAGGACTTGAGCCATTTCAACCCAAAAAGTGTGGAATGGAGGCCCAGATATACTGGACCTTGGAATCAGAGCTGGGGGTCATCCTGGATCATTTAAAAAATAATAAAAATTAGAAAAGGGAACAAGTCAATTGTCAAAGTTAAAAAAGGGGGACAGTCTCTGATCTTCACGGGAGGTCAAGGAAACCTCGAAGGCACTCCAAAGGCCAGGATACAGGAGTGAGGAGGCAGGAGAGGGCTCCTACAGACGGACACAGGTGAGGGGAGAGAGAGCAGGCCGGGCCCTTCTCTTAAGGCTGCAGGGTTTCCATGCTGCCGGGAGCAGGCCAGAGGAGCAGAGTGGCCCCCCAATGCCCCACACTCCTTGGGCTCCTGGGGCTCCGGCTGGTTGGTCAGCAAAGTCTTTCAGATTTTTCTATTACCAAAAGGGGAAAAAACACAAAAACACAAAACACCAGAACACCCAAAAGCAATTTGGTGCAGGCCCTTGAGCATCTCTGGCACTGGCCCCTTAGAAAATCCTCTTGCGCTTTAGGTAGGAATCTGCGTAGTGGCCACCAAGGCCCTGGGAGTGCTGGCCCACGTAGCTGCCTTCTGGGCTGGGTTCGGGTGAGGGCAGCAGGTGGGCAAAGCTGCGTTTCTGGCCACCCAGTGGGGTCTGGAGACAGAGGGGCGGGGGCAGCAGGTCAGGGGCCACCCAGGGGCCACTGCTCCCAGCCCAGCATGTCCCCGCCCCCTGCCCATACCTTCAGCAGGTGGCTGTGGCCGTTGGGTCCAGGGCTGAGGCCCAGGAGCCCTTCTCCGGAGCCCAGTGGAGAGGAGCCAACCACCTGGGGGAAAGGAAAGGAAGATAGGATGCGAGAGGAAGCAGCCCGAGCAAAGGTGAGGGGTTTCAGGTTCAAACCCTGCCTCTGCCACTCCAGATTACTCGTGGAAGATTACTTCCTTTCTCTAAGCCTCGGTTTCTTCATCTGTCAACTGGGGCTAATACCACCCACACCCTGGGTTGCTGGGAGGGGGAGAGAAGAGGTGGGAAGGCGGTGTGGTAAGTACTAGGTGTGACACCCCAGTGTGGAGAGGATGGTGTTTCAGCTCAGCCCTGAGCAAAGCCGATCCCTGCCAGCACCCCAGACTTGGCCTAGGCACGCAGGGTCGCAGAGGCTCTCCCTGGGCACCCATCCTTGGCCTGTGGGAGCTCCTCACCTTAAGGTGGCTCTGCTTGAGGCCAGCCTGCAGGCCGCTGGTGAAGTAGGAAGTGGGTGAGCCTGAATAGAAGTGGGAGAGGGACCCACCGCTGCCCCCGCCACTCCGTTCGCCAAAGCCACTGGGTGGGGGTGACATCTGCAGAGAGGGAGCTGGCTGAGCGAGGCCGACGACTGTGGCACCCACCCCTTTTGTAGACCTCCCCAAATGACTCCGAGGTTTGTTGTGTGACCAGCTTTGGTCAACAGGACAGCACAGCATGACGATGCCAACAGGGGTGCCTGCCATCCCAGGAGAGGCCCCCTCACCAGCCTACTGACCACCAGACTTATGAGTTAGGCTGTTGGGGACCACTGAGCCCCAGCTGTGCAGCCAGGTAACTGCAGAGAACTGCCCACCCACCACTCCGAAGAATGGGGAGAAATAGTAAAACGTGTGCTGTTCTAATTCACAAAGTGGTAGGACTGCTTGTTATATAGCAAAAGCTAGCGATGCACCCAGGCGGTGAGGCAGCCAGAAGGCCCTTACTCTGTGCCGGCTGGGTCCGTGAGGCCCAAGGGCTGGCTCCCGTGACTGGGAGAGGAGCCGCTGAGGTCCCATGTCCTGAAGGAAAGGGGAGAAGCACACTGCATTGGGGTCTGCACCAACCTAGCTGAACCCCACAGCACAGCCGTCATCAGGGAAGCCGGGGGCTCTAGTAGAGGGCCAACTTGGCCTGTGAGCGGGGCAGCCAGCATGAGACAGCATCAGCATGTGTGCCCAGCCCCTGGAGACGCCTGCTATGAAGGAGGGTGGCCCCAGCAGGGCCAGGTGTTTGGAGTTTTCAGGGTCGGCTGGGCATGTGGACTGTGTGAGCTCTGGCAGTTTTCATACATGTTTTTTCTTCTTTTTTTAATCCCAGTGTGGGCCAAACACAACACAGGCGGCCTGCTGGCAACTGGTCTACAACATGATTGGGATAGAGACTGAGACAGGAATCACAGAGGGGAGAGAACAGACAGAAGCAGGGTGAGAAAGTCCAGGACTGGGGGATGGACAGACAGGAGGCAGGGTCTGCTGTGCAGAGACATGAGACCTAAGGGCAAGGACCGTGTCCGGCATGTTCCCATGTCCCTAGAGCTCAGCCTGACAGTACTAGAGAAGTATGGTTTGGAAATTATTTGCTCTCTGGGACAAGGGCGACAGCAGGTGGCCCTCAGTAGGCCTGACCACAGGGCAGCCATGTACTCACCGAGGGGAAATCGAAGCCATAGCTGTCGGGTAGCCCTGGTTCGGGGGGCAGACGGGCGCTGGCGAGGGGGCTGAGCAGGCGGGACTTGAGCTGGAAGGCTCTGCTGCCACCACCACCTCCAGGGGCTGGGGGGTCAGGCAGGGGGCCCTCAGCTGGGCGGCGGCTTCTCCCGGAGCCTCCCCAGCCCCGGACCTCCTTACCCGCCAGGTTGCTGGCTGGGAGCAGGCTGTGCAGGTTCAGGTAGGGATTCAGGGGTATCCGGAAGTCCTTGGGGGGCTCCCCTAGCAGCGATACCTGTGGCAGAAGGGCCAGATTTGAGAGGGCCCCTGCTAAGGGAGACTACGCAGGGCAGGAGGCTGGAATGGTGCTGGGTACTGGGCGGGGCCTTACCCCACTGGGTGTTGGCAGAGGCCCACTGTCCTTCTGGAGGCCTCTGAGGCTGGGGCCTCGGAGCCCCACAGGGGCAGGGGGTGGAGTGAGCCGGGCGGCTGGGGGACCCAGGCCCATTGCTTCCCGGTCACCACCGGAGGGGCCAAGCAATGGCGGCAGCAGGGGTGGTGGCTTCCCTCGCGGGGGGGGCAGCTCCGGGGGCAGACCCCCGCCTACAGAGAGAATGTGGGCTTCAGCAGCCTGGCCATAGGATCCTCCTCCTGAGACCCTAGAGCTTCTGCTTGGAGGCGGTGCCAACTGACAGACAAGGACACTGAGACCCAGAAATGAGGTCATTTGCCCAAGGCCATGCAGCTAGGAGTCTCCCAGGCTCAGTGAGGAAAGGGGCTTGGGCAGGGTTAGAGGAGGAGGCCCAGAGATGTGGGGATGGCCGCGGTCTGTATCTGTTACCTGCACACAGCTCCCCAAGGAGGGGGTTGGCGGGCTGGGCCCCAGGCTGGAGGGTGCCCAGAGGAGAGTCTCCCAGGATCCCAGGCTTCTGGAGACAGAGCACAGTCAGCTGGAGATGGGGGCGGTGTAGCCTGGGCAGCAGACAGGTGTCACCCAGTCACGGTGGTCCCAGTGCCCAGCACAGCCAGTCCCAAGCAGACATGACCAAGGGCCTCCTGTGTGCCAGGAAGGCCCTAAGGAGACCAGGGGAACACAGGCCATACACTCCGCGTGTCAGGGCCTGTCATCGCCATGCTGCCAGTCACTGTGAGACAGACACATGGTGACAGTCGTTCTTAGGCACATTGCACTGTCCCCCACACACACTGCAGCACTGATGGTAGACACAGTGTGTGACAGCCACGCATAGATTCAGTCACTTGTGGCCACACAAAGACCCAAGCCCACAATTCTGTCAGTCTCCATCAGACACAGCCAGGCCACTGACTTGCCCCAGTGAACCACACTAGCCAGGGCAAAGCGTGTGTCTTTGTGTCGCATGTTTACACTGTGCGTGTGCTTCAGTTGTCCGTATGTGTTGGCAGGGTGGTGAGAGGCCACTCTACTCCCCCATGAGGCCTGGACTTTCACCCCCAGACTGAGTGACTTCCTGAGTCCTAAGCACCTGGGACAAGACAGGCTCAGGACTGAGTCCCAGGGACATGGCCAGATAACCCAGCTGGTGGCGAGCCCCTGGCAGGCGTGACTGGGGCTTGGGATGGACATTCAAGGGGGTGTGGAGGTGGGTGATGAGGGAGCCTGGGGGCCCGCGGGCAGCCTTACCTTCTGACTCTGGGTCTGCAGGGCGAGCTGCAGCAGCGCCGTGGACAAGGCGGGCCCACTGAGTAGCGGCATGGCTGGGGGGGCGCCCAGCAGGCCTGGGGGAAGACCCAGCAAATGGGCGGTACACCCTGGATGGAAGCCTCTTCCCCAGTAAGCACAGCCCTGGCCTGCAGCTCCCAGAAGGCAAGTGACATGCCTGAAGGAAGGGCTGGGCAGGGGAGTCTGCCCCAGCGAGGAATGACCCCTCCTTCTACCCCGCCTTCACTGCAGGCTGCTCTGCTCCAGTGCGAGGGACTCAAGGCACCAGCTCCCTCTGGCTACTGCCACTCTCATCCTGGCCCCTGTCCGTGGGCACATTACTTGGAGTTTAGATGGGAAAACAGTCTCGGGGAGGTGCCCGGTCTTACCTTGCTTGCCCCCTGCGTTGCTGTGGAGCAGGGGGTTGAGCAGCAGCTGGAGAGAGGCAGAAGGCCCCAGGTTGTTGAGCAGCTGCAGGATGTTAGGCTCAGGCAGGAGTCCTTTGCCTCGATTGAGTGCCTGGGGAAAGGAACGGGGTGGCTCAGAGCCCCGCCCGGCCCTAGTGATGGGGCCTCACCCCTCCCACTCACCCCCAGCAGGAGACCTCTGCCTCAGTTCAGGGCCTGAGAAGTGGACTGGGGCAGCTCAGAGCTTCCCCACCACCACCCAGCAGGGATGGGGCCTCGTCCCTCCTGCCCACGGATGCCCACCAGGGGCCCTGATGTTTGGAGGGATGAGAGTCTGGTCCCTGGCTCCCCCACCCCCCAGGGCATTCTTCGGGGTGCACACTCACGGTGGCCTGGGCGGCGATGAGTGCCGCTAGCATGCTGCGGCCAGGGGGCCCTGGGGCGCAGAAGGAGACACGCAGGTTGCTGCCCCCCAGGGCCAGGCCATCTGCCTGCTGCTGCGCCTCTTCTGCCATGGCCGCTGTCTCGTACTCTAGCACGGCGAAGCCTTTCAGTTGCCCATCCTGGCCATACGCCAGCTGTGGTGGGGGGAAGAGGCAGACATGAGCACCCAGTGGGGCATGACCGCCCTCACATGAAGTGACAACAGCGACCAGACTTGGGTCCTGATCATGACAGTGCCACCCAAGAAGGTGGATACCAAGCCTGGTAAGTCCTGAGCCCCATTCAGATGTTAGCTTCTGGAATCTTCCCCATGGCCCTGGGAGGTTCCTTCCTACCCACTTTACAGAGGGGGCAATTGTGGCTCAGAGAGGTTAGCACACTGAAGGTCACACAGCTGGTGGGAGGGTAGAGCTCTTGAGCAGTCCATAGTCCAGTTCAGGTCAGGCTCCGTGGCCATGTGAGCCTGCCCAATTCAGGGAACAAACCTCTTGGTGTTCAGGGCATTGTGGGTGCCAGCACAGCGGATAGATGCTGGCATTGTGGGCACATGCTGTCCCAGGCAAGCTGGGCCCTGTGTGCCACAGGCCGAGTGCCACAAATGTGGTTTTCACTGCATCCCAGGGCCAGGTGCTGTCAGCACGGCCGCTCTGCAAACGAGGTAACAGGCTCAGAGAGGGCAGACCCTTGTCCAGGCCACAGAGCTGAAGCTGGGATCAGACAAGGCCAGGCTGATGCCCTTAAGGACAGTGGCCACCCTGGCATGGCAATATGTGTTGCAAGAGCCAGTGGCATCTTCTTGGTCCCGAATGACACACTGCATGGTTTGGGACCAACCTGACATCTGTTGGTAGGGGACAGACAGCACAGGGTCCATTTGATGGAATCTGGCACAGCCACAAAAGAAGTGAGAAAGCTCTCGTGTCTGAACATGGAAAGATGCCCAAATGAACTAAATGGAAAAACCAGACCAAAGCGGCCCGGGCCGTATCAGGTGAGGAGAGGGAGGACACAGGGACACATACACGCGTCTGAAATGTGTAACAAAACCTGTGGGAAGGAGATGACAAAGGTGCAGGCAAAGGTGCCGGGGGGCCAGAGAGAGCCCTCACGGCTGACCCTGCTGGACATGCCCCATTTCAGAACAGGGCAGGGCTGCCCATTCACAGAAGTAAATAAAGCAAAAGTGAACAAAAAAGGCTTTTATAACACCTGAGGTCCTGTGGCAGCTTTGTATCCATCTATAGCGTTCAAATATTTCTAACAACTCTATAATAAAATAAAACAAATCAGCTATATAAACTGCTTGCAAATAATCGGCAAAGCATGCCAGAGGGGTCGCTATGAGATTTCCATGACGTTCTCGTCCTGTGTTGAAAATAAATGCTCCCCACAGGACAACAAATGCCATGCTTGTCATCCGGCCTTCTGGGAAGGTGGGCCCTGGGGTCGGCGGCCTAACCTTGACTCCCAGCCCTCCTCTGACCAACAGGCCAATCCCTGGGCCTCAGCGCCCTCAGCTGTAAGAGTGCCGGACTGGACCCACCTGCAAGGCTGTAGGGATTCAGTAAGATGCTCAGTAGGGGTGCACTCCAGGCACAGCAGCAGGGGAGGTTCCTGGCCCGGGCGCCCACTGGGTGCCCAGGCAGGGTGAGCTCTGGCTCTCGGCCCACCTCCAGTGAGCACGTCACTTTCACTAATGGAAGGCCTGCGGGCAAGGCCTGCAGGCACACCTCCCAACACGCCCCTCACAGATGCCTAGACAGGGCAAAAGGCAACCAAGGCTGCACAGCTACTCAGCTGGGAGACTGAGGATCAAACCTCAACCTGCCTGACTCGAGACAGTTCTCCAGGATGCCCAGTGTTAAGTGGTCACAGTAACCCAACCACAAAGCACTGCCAGCTCACGTCACGATGGGGAGGTGGAGGCCAAGAGACAACCTGGAGCGGGTCATGGCCCTGCTGTGCTCAGTCTCCACACAAGATGATGTGACCACCAGACTAAGGCATCTGTGTGCTATGCCCTATCAAGGCCTGGCCCCCGCAGGCAGCAGCATGAATGCATGTGAAGTGATCAGGAGAGGGGTTCCCCAGGCCCCAGCACCCCAACCACATGAGGGGAGTGGTACCCACTCAAGGCCCCAGCATGGGGTCTGACCCCACATGGGCCTCCTCCTCCAGGCTGACCTGGGGCTCTTGAGCCAGGCTATGGCCTCTGACCCTGGCTCTATGACCCTGGACATGTCACTTGCCTTTTCTGCCTCAGTGTTCCCGCCTAAAACTGGTGATACCACTGGCCTCTCTGGCCTGTCTGAGGATGAAAGATGGCAGGTAACATGCTTGGAACCCAGTGAATGCTCCAAGAACATCTGCTGCCTTGGGGGCTTGCAGGCAAGACCAGAGATCTGGGGGATCTCTGAGAACTGGGACTGGCCTATTATCACCCCCTGAGCCTGTTATGGGGACAGGCACACACAGAAGTGCCTGACAAATGACTTAACTGAACAAGGGACTATTTTGTCAACCCAGTGCATGCCTTCGGAATCCCTTCTTACGGAGGGGGAAACCAAAGTTCAGGGAGCCAGTGACTTGCTTGGGGCCATAAAGCAGGGCCGAGATCCGGCCACACCCAACTTCTTGACCTCAAGGCTTATATGGTATGGAGCGTGGGCTCCACTGGAGTAGCTTCCTCGACACTTGAGGTCCAGTACGTGCTCAGCAAAATACGATGTGTGCAGGGGTGAGGGGTGGGCAAGTCTTGCCACCAACTCCAGAGGCAGCCTCGCTTGCACTTTACGGGGAGACAGAGGCCAGGGGTGTTAAGCGAGTCACTGGAGGGTGTGCAGGACTCTAAGCCCCAGCCATCTGGCTCCTAGCTGGGCCGTCACCCACTGTTCCACATGGCCTCTCCAACAAGAACCCCATTCAAAAAGGCGCCGCCGCAGTTTTACTGCAAAGGGACCAAGAGACTAGGGAGGCCAGGTGGCTCCAAAGGGCCCCTCTGGGGTGCTTTGGCCTGGCATCTGCACCCCCAGGCCCCTGCCCCAGGCACAGGGCTCACCTGGCAGAAGGTGGGTGTGTGGACAGCTGAGAGCGCCTGGTGCAGGGCATCCACATCATTGAAGCCAGCTGGCAGGCGGTCGACACAGAGGCAGTGGGAGTGGAGCAGGGCAGGCGTCAGCTGCCCGGCGTCTGTCCAATGAACGTAGAGGGTGCGTGGGCCCAGCGGCTTGCCCAGCAGGTCCGACTTGGCGCGGGCAGCCGAGTCCTTCTTCATGTACTCGGCAAAGCCGTAGCCCTTGGAGTGGCCAGTGCGCTCACTGTAGACCAGGAAGCAGCGCTCCAAGCTGCCGAAGGGCCGCACCAGCTCCTCGAACTGCTGTTGTGTCAGGCTCGGGGGCAGGTTGGCCACACACAGCAGGGCGTCTGTGGGCTGCAGCTGCACCGACAGCTCGCGGTCCCGCAGGCGGCTCTGGTGGAAGGTGCTAATGGCTGCCTCGGCCTGCTCCCCATTCAACAGGGTCACAAAGGCTGCGGCAAGACAGGGCGTGGGGTCAGGGGGGGCTGCCCCCCAACGCCTTAAACCTCGTGTGACTCTGGCATACCAAACAACCAGGAAAAGTCATCCACTAGCCGACTGAAACACCTGCCAGCTTTGAGCAACTCCAGCAGCAGATGCCACCTGCTTGCCACCCTCACCCCGTTCACCCTCCGTGCACCCGGCTTGGCCCTGAGAACTGCGTGGGGAACCCTCGTGACACAGAGGGTAATGGTTAAGCATGTGGTCCCTGGAGCTGGGTTTCAGCTCCAGCCTCTGAGAGGCTTTGGGATTTCACTGTCCTCATATGTCAAATGGAAATAACTTACTCCTGACAACCACCATTTTGCCACAAGGAAATGGGACCACAGCCGTGGCCCCCTGCCCAAATGGAGGAGCCTGGACTTGAACCTGCCCTAGCGCCCCACTCTGTACTCTGCACCCCTTCCCCACCACCTGTCCAGACAACCAGCCCCTCTCATATCTGAGGCCCTGCCTGGCCCTGCCTGGTTTGCTCTCCACCCAGCAGCCACAGGGAGCTTTTCTAAACAACCATCAGATTGTGCCACACCCTTGCCCAGGGGCTTCCCCCTGCAGGGACCAGTGGAGCCTGCACGGCCTGGCAGACCACCTTCCCGTCTCTTGCCACTACTTTCTGGACCCCGCCAGGTGTGCTCGGCCTCAGGCCTCTGCACCTGCTTTTCCCTGAGCCGTGGAACACTGACCTACACCTTTTCACCTGGTTAACCCTGACCCCCATTTAATGTGCCCATAAACATCATGTCCCCCAAGAAGAAGCCTCTGACCGTTCCTGTGTCAGACCCCAGCTCTGTACGCCTAGTATCCTCGAGCTTCTGATCCCATGAACATTTCACCTTCATGTGTGCAGTTGTTTGAATAACATCCTCCTCCCCAGACTAGACTATCTCTGTTTGCTTCACAGCTGTGTTGCCAGCACTTAGCACAAAGTAAGTGCTCACTAAACATTTGCTGGAAGACCATATGAAAGAAAGTGTCATTTAACCTCTGGATCCTCAATGCCTGGCACGTACACACACTAGGAGCTCAGCAAGTAGTTTTGGCCTGTTGCCCCTATCATTGTTTCCTAAGCACCTACTAGGTGCTAGGCACCCACACCTTTTTAGGTATTTTAATGTATTTCACTTCATGGCCAACCCAAGCAGGTCATGCCTACCTTGCTGGTGAGAAATAGAAGCTCGGGAAGGCAAACTTGCCTAGGGCCACACAGTGAGGATGGCCCAGGACTTGAACCCAGGTCCTTTGCCTCCAGGGCCCAAGATCCTAACCACCACCCTTACTTAGCCTGTCATGTAAGTCTCAAGGGGTCGCCTGATCTCAGCTCCTTCTCACCCATGTTACTGATTGTAAGCAAAGGCCCTGGAGGGTTTAAGGCTGGCATAATGCCTAGCAGGCAAAGACTCCCACTCAAAGCTTCCCACACATGGGGGTTGGGGGAACAAGGCTAATAAGGCCCGTCCCTATTCTCATGGAGCTGACCACTCAGGCAGGAAGCAAGTGGGTGAGTCAGCAACAACAGCCCAGGGTGGGGGAAGTGCTCAGAGCTCTGATGGCACCTGGTGGAAGAGGGAACAGCTCAAAACCTGGAGATGGCAAGGCTAGGGCACATCCTCGCAAGGTAGTGCCAGGAGGAACATCACAGGTTTTGAGAAGAATGAGTAGGGTTAGAACCAGGTTTGATCAGATTTGCAATCAGATTGGAGCTGGCTGCCTGGGGGAGGGCAAGCAGGGTCATAAAATCATGGAGGCAGAGAGGTCAGAGGGAGGCTGCCATTTCAGCAGAGACAGAGAGGGCATGGACCAGATGGAGGCCAAGAGAGTGGTGGGGCACCAATTGTTCTGGACAGCTTGAAGGTGAAGACCAGACAGGCCTGGGTGATTGGCTGGCTAGGGAGTGTGGTGTGTGCGGGGGTGGGGAGCCCAATGTCCAGGTATCTGGCTAGGCAGCCCAGAGGAAGATGGGCACCCAGGATGAGGGACAGATGTGGGCAACAGTCTGTCCTACAGTGGCCTAGAGGACAATGTTAGGCCCAAAGTTCAGGAGAGGAAATGCTGAACTAAAGCCCTCCCAGCTTCAGGGACTGTCACCTCCTGCTGCTAGCTCACGCCACAGCCCCACAAACCTGTCCCTTTGTATTTGTCCACAAAACAGTACTTGAGCTCATAGTCGCTGAGCAGATCGTGCACTTCCTGTGGAGACAGAAGCCAAAAGACAGGGAGTCACCAGCGGCTGAAGGGAGCAACCAGGTGCCACCTTCATGTGGACCAGCTATCAGGCAGGTCAATCACCATCCCCATTTTACAACTGAGGAAACTGAAGCTCAGGCCTCATGCTTTCAACCAATACAATGCTTATCAAGTCAAGTGGGTCTGAGTTCGAGGCTCAGCTCTGCTGTGCGCCCTTAGGGAAGTCATTTAACCTGTCTGAGCCTCAGTTGGCAAGACTGACACCTACCAACAACCCAACAAATTAGGTATTAACAAAACTATTTTGTAGATAAGGAAGTTGAAGCTCAGAGAGGTGAGAGAACCTGTCATGTGGTTGGTCAGGGCAGCGGTGGGAATGGCACCCAGGGGTACCTGACTGGGGATCCTGTGGACTTAAAAGGCCCACACTATGTGCCTCCCGATTCCCTGCTACTGACAGGGTTGGCCTTCTTGCAAGCCAGCTTCGGTGTGAGACTCTGGCGCCCATTTGTGCCACACACACTGTGCAACCAAGCAGGAGAGACAACGTGCTCCCAGCTGAGAAATGGAGGGACTAGAAGGAGGGGTAGCTCTAGAAACAAACCACAACACTTAGTGGAGTCTGCCCCAGGTCTGTCCCCAAGATATGCCCCTCCCAACACTCCTGGGACCCCACCAGTCACATGCCCACCTACAACCGAAGAGGCTCAGTGGCAGATGGGCTGGTGGGCTAGGGAGCAGGGATTCTCAGCAGCATGAAGAAAGAAACTATTCCACCCTGCCTCCCTGTGGAAGGGCAGGGCAAGCTAGATGCAACCTCCCCGGTCCAAAGAGCACTGGGAAGCCCTACCCTATGTAGGCCTCAAGAGAAGGGCACCCCTTGCCAGAAGATCAGGCAGGGGGGTGGGTTTGTCCACAGAACAATGGTCCCTTTTCTGGAAGGTCTCTGGGCAGGAGAAGCCATTTTTCCAAATTAATCCTGGAGCTTTGAGGGAAGAAAGACCTCCAAGAGCTGCTACAACTTCCCCATCTACCTCGCAGAAGAGTTAGTAATATTAAACGCGTGCTATGGAAAGGTATACTCTAGCCAACCCTCACAACTTCTGGATATGAGGTCCCACCATCCCATGGTAGAGGGGGTGAGGAAAAACAAAGCAGGGAGCCACTGGAGTCCCTATTTCCACAGTCCCAATCTAGCTGCCCAGTCACAATCCCTCAACGTAGCCAAAGCTGCCCACCCCCTTCCATACCCCGCCCCCTTTCAATCACTTGGCCTTATCCAAGCCTGTGGTCATCCCTTGCAACGTCTTCCCTCAGTCCAAAGTTGGTTTCTTCCTCCATTACCGGACCCCCACATTTCGCTCTTGGTCTCTCCCGACCCTGCGTGGATCCCTCGGTTGGACTGTCCCGCCGACCACCCCCCGCGCACGCCAACCTTGGTGTCGCCCGCTTCCCCCGCGCACGCGCGCGGTGGTATTTCCCGCCACGCTCCCTCACCGACCCCCCCCATACCTGGTTGGTCACGTCCCCCGGGAGGCCCCGGATCAGAATCTTGCGGCGGTTACGGAACTGACGCTCGGTGTGTCCCAGTCGCTTCCGGATCTCCTCTGGGTCTAGCAGCGGCAGCTCTTCCTCGGGCGCCCGGCGCTCGGTGGCATCGTCAGCTTCAACTTCGGCCCCAGCCTCCGGACTCAGCGGGGGCCGGTGAGGAACGGACACATCGGCCGCCATCTTGGGAAACCCGGCGCCTTCTGGGACCAGCGAGCCGGGGCGGAGCGGCATAGAGCGGCAACAAGGGCTCGTTCGCCGATTCGCCGGGAGAAGCCCTTCCTCCTCCTCAAGACACCCTCAGCCTATTGGCTAAGGCGCAGCCCGCCTCTCAGAGTTCGAGCAGAGTCTGGGCGCCACAGATTCCGCCACTGAGATGTCACTTGACCGTCGCACCGGAGGAATTAAGCCAGACTCCGGATTTTGACGGCTTTATTGATGCGTAACTCGGACATACAGCGAAACCCCTGTCCTTGTTAGCCTAGTGTCCTGGCGGCCTTAGGCTCAGGATGGCTCCTCCCCCACATCCTCGTTTGGCTGTTTCGACGTGAGGGGCAACCAGGTGCTCCCCTGATTCACGTGGTAGCTGTCACTCCGCTTCTTCATCCCGAAGACGTACGCTAAGGCCGCAAAGATCATCACCAGGCCCAGGATCACTAACACCCCCATGCCTATGCTCACGGCGATGGGATTCCGATCTGTTCAGAAAAACAAGGAGTAAGTACACGTGCCCTGGCCCCTCCCTAGGCTTACCGGTCTAGACCTGTGGCCCTGCCTCGGCTCACCCTGAACGTTCATCACCACGGTCAGACTGTACTCGCCCAGTGAGCTGTTCGCCCGGCAACTGTAGGTACCATTATGTTTTAACTTGACAAAGAATGGGGTCCCAACGGGCACCTTGACCGTGGAGCCTTCCTTCATACACTGCAGCTGAGGGTCCGGGTTGCCCCGGGCCTGGCACTGCAGGACATGAGTAGTCTTCTCTTGCCATGTCACACTCTGGGGACATTTGGTTCGGTCAATCTTGGGACCGTCTGTGGGACCGCCAAAATAATCAGACACACCCAAGGCATAATGGTAGAAGAGTCAAGTCTTCTTAAACCAGAGGATCAAGAGATTAAAGGTCAGAATGAACTACTCACAAAGGACACGCAATTGGACGCTCCTGTTCCTGTGAAATATCCCCCCATCCACTCGAAGAGTGGCATTGCAGAAGAAGCTGCGCCTGTCGTCCTCCTCGGTGGCATTTAGCTGAAGCTGGGCGAGCTGCCCCGGGCCCGCGGACGAAATTCCGTCTAGTGTGACCTGGACTTGAGCTCCAGCCGCGCAAGTCACAGTCACTGTGGTCCCCTCGGGGGCGGTGGGCTCGCTCAGGTTCAGGATGGGCCCTAGGAAGCCTGAATGCAGGGCATTGTCCGGGAGCTTGCTGACCACGTCCCTCATGTGGTCAAGCCCTGCCCTTCGCCCACCTCTTTCTCTTCGGGGTATCCAGGCCACGCCTCTCTCTGCGTTCTCGCCCAACCCGGGTCACTCAAGCTGTACAGTTCAGGTTACTTAGCCCCCGCCCATGTCAAAGTCCTCCCACTCTGGCGATCCAGTCCCTGCCCCTTCATCAAGCCCCCCGGGGCCCGTTTGGCCCCGCCCCTCTTACTATAGATGGTAACGTTCTTCCGGGTTTCCCGGCTGTCGCCTCCCAGGGTCACGTTGCAGACAATCTGCCGGGTGCCCTCTTGCTCCGCACTCGCTGTGGCTGTGGCTGTGGCCGTGAGATTGTCCCCATGGCTCTCGACTGTGGCATTCAACATTTGGTCTCCCAGCGCCACCTGGACCTGGGCCTCAGAGGCCGGGAACAGCCCGGTGAGAATGCAGTCTACGGACCACGAGGTTTCCACCTCCAACAACGGGGAGACATCGAGGAGCGGCATGGTCAGGGCTGGAGAGAACGGTGGGCGTGAGTAGGAGGTGGTCTCACACAGCCGTAGACGCCCTTTTCCCCAAGACACACACACACACACACACACACCTCCGACCCAGGGTCCTTCTTTCCCAGAATGTCTTGCGACTTGAGTCACTCTTTACCAGGACACACCCACACAGCCTTTTCAAAAGTTCCCTCAGCCCCGAGCCTGAGGTCTGAGGCCGCCTCGCCCAATGGCCAAGGGCATGCCTTCCCAGAAGCCCTTGGAACCCGGCCACCCCATTCTCAGGAGCCTCTTGACCAAAGGGCACAACTATTTTGGCTCAGCTCATCAGCCACCGTCTGCAGTCCCTCCCCTCACCGAAGGTTTGGAGCTGCCTGGGGGCCGAACTGTTCAGGAACAGCCCCAACCCTCGGGGTCGCAGGTCCAGTTCCGTGCGGCACGAGAAACTGGCGCCGTGGTCGTCTCTGCCCGCCCGCACCGTGGCCGTGACCTCGGCGGGCTCCCCCACCGCCGGCTGCCGGCTCAGCTCCTCCTCCCCACGGAGCAGCACCACCGTGAGGTTCGTCCGGGGCGCCCCGCCCTCCACCCGGCAGCGCAGGGTGAAGTTCTCACCCACCGGCAGCCACTCGGGCAGGGGGGCCAGCTCCACGCGCTCCGGGACCCCTGCGGTGGGGATAGAGAGAGGAGAATAGCACTTATCAGCCAGCCCTGCAACCCCCACGTCAGGGAGAGGAGAGGAGGCCCAAGGAAGAACTGTGAACTTTTTGAGTTGTTAAATCTAGAAGACTTAGAAGAACGTCAGTGCCAAGTGTTTGCTGTTAACAGTATCATGGTTATTATTTCCTGTTTTGTCAGATACCTTGCCAGCCACTGAAATAAAAGTCAGATTTTCTGTTCTCGAGGACTCACAGAACCTCCTCTGTTTCCAAGAACTTGTCTTTTTTTTTTTTAGGAAAAAAAATAAAGGGAACAAACGTTTATGATTATGATTGCTAATTAACAGTGCTCATAAAAGTTCCTGTTGAGTGACTTTCCAGATGTTACCCTTCATTCACACAGCAACCATGTGAAATCTCTTACTTTTCCCTTTTACAGATGGAGGAACTGAGAGCCAGAGTAGTGAGGTGATCTGCCCAAGGACACATAGCCAGGAAGGGGCAGAACCCAGCTTAGAAGGTGAGTCTCTCAAACTCCAGACGTGTCTCTGTCTACCTGCCTCCAAGGTTTAGGGACTCCCTTGGCCTCTCCTCCCAGCTTCTGGACTGGATTCGGGCCTTGGCCCCTCCCAGAGCTTGGTCTGGCTCCTCCCAATCAGCCCTAGGCACTCAAGGCTGTCACTGCCACCTGCCTGGGGAAGTCGTGGCAGGCAGGGGAACCTGTACCCCCAGGCCAGGTCATCTCTGGGTTACTCCATAGTGCCGTCTGCAGGCACAGTACCAAACCCTGGGCCTCCTTGGGAGGCATCTTACTCACCCTGGACAAATCGAACGTGTATCTGTCTGTCACACGGAGGCCCACAGACTCGTTGCCATGAAAAATATTTAACATCTTACTACAGGTATTTGCCCACTTTTCGAAAGTTCAAGTTACGCCACTTGGCTTTTATGAAAGACCTACATTAGAACCTGTTTTCGCTACGCAAAAAAATCCCGGAAGAGAATTTTCACTTTTACAAAAGAAAGCAAAAAAGCCTTCTGCCTTGGTGTTGCAGCGAGCCCTCATAGAGGTGGCAGGCGCCCCAGCAGTGGGATGGTGCCACCAAACTTCAGGAACTACAGTCAGCACCTCAGCACCAAGCTGCCAGAGCCCTGAGCTGTGTCATCTGGGTTTTCTCTCGATTTATGTTGTGCATCTGTTGACAAGCTGTGTCCTAAGGTGTGAGAAAAGCCTAAGAGATGTCATTTTTTAGGTCTTGGAATACTAAAACATTTTTCCATATAAATTATTGGCAATTGCCTCTTTGGCTTTGCATCATTTTGGCTTTGAAAGGTTTGGTAGGAACACTGTACTTGCAGAGTGAGATGGAAACCTGTAATTTACAATTTTAGAAACTTTAACAAGGAGGCCTCCACTGCAACCTTGGGTACCACTAGTCGGGGATCATGGTATGCTGGAAAATGCTGGTAGTGCTTGGGCTTGGGGGACTTGGTGGGGGTCGTACTGACAGGGAGCATTTGCCAATTTCTGTGGTGTAAATACTTCCACAATGGCTGATTTCAAGCCACCCAGCGTGACACAGAATTACGTAGAGATGGGCTCAGTCGGTTCTTGTGCGCCAGAATCAACAGGCTCCTGAAGAGCAGTGGACAGAGGCATCTCAGACACAGAGACAGGGACACACCTGCAGATGTACCCATTATACAGAAATACAGAAACAAACACATACTGACACAGACATACACATACACAGCTACACAGATACCCAGACAGACACAGATACACAGCTATGGATAATGACACACACATGTGCATATGTTCACAAGTATTCACACACAGACATACAAACATACACAGGCACACGGGTAATAACACAAATACATATGCTCATGGACACAGGTACATGTACACTACACTTATCTGTGAAGACTTCACAAGATGTATATTCTAGTTTTCTGTGGTCTTTTAAATGCGGAGAAAGTCTGAAAAGATCCGTAGGAAACTGGTGACAGGGTACAGGGTCTTTGGAGGAAGACCTCTCCTGTTAGGTGGCAAGGACTTAGGGGTCACAGTTCCTCTGCTGATGGGCTGTGAACCTTGACAAGAAGCTTTATCCCAGTGAGCTCTGGTTTTCCTGTCTGAAATGAGGCTCACAAGTACACCTCCCCACCCTGGGGCTTTGGTAAGCATTGAATGGGCACCTAGTGTCAACATGCAAACCAGCGACCACTGAAGCCAGTGCTAAGTAAATGGAGATTTGACATTTACATGTGTTTATACTTTTTGATTTTGGAACCATGGGAGTTCCCTAGCATAAAAAGAAAAGGAACAAATAAAAAACATTAAATGTCATTTAAAAAATGCTTCTAGGGACCCAAATAGGTTGATTGCACAGCTGCTGCTCTGGCATACGGTTGAGATGCATCTCCCTGTCTCTGTGACTCTGTCCACCTGCACGTGTGCACACACACATCCAGGGCCAACCTCTGGGACAGAGCCCTGGTCCATTCCTGCAGACTCAGGGCCACCTGCTGCCCCATGCCACTGGTCACCTACCCTCTCCACTGCCAGAGGCTAGCCCCACCTCCAGGCACATCTACTCACCGTACACTGTGATGCTTGATGAGCCTGTAACTTGGGAGCCGTTGCAGTAGCCAGAGCAGAGGACCTGGCTGTCACCAGTCACGCCGCTGAGCTGGAAGGCTGTCCAGCCCATGCCATTGCCCACCGGTTTCTTGATTAGGGATGTCTCCAGGGTGAGAAGTTCAGCATGGGGACAATTTGTAGTGCAGTTGACCAAAAGGGACCCTCCAGTAGGCACCACCGGGTCCTGGGGCTCCACCCGCAGAGGGAATTGCTGCCCTTGGGCACCTGTGGGAACAGAAGGATGCTCCACTGGTAGTTCTGGTGTCCCCCCACCCCAGGCTGCAAGCCCCAGCATTCAGCAGCTCCTGCTGAGATAAAATGGTCCCTTGCCTTCATGTTGCTTCAGTCTTGTGGGGAAGACAGATGATGGATCAAGAACTGGGGAGAGGTCAGTGGGAGGCCAGGGGATGCCCTGATCCAGCCTGTAGAAGGAAGGAAGTCAGGGAAGGCTTCCTGGAGGAGGGGACAGCTATGGCCAGTTTTGAAGGGTAAGCAGGAGTCAGCCAAGTGAGAAGAAACAGTGATCCTGGCAGAGGAAAGAACATAGGCAGAGGTCAAGGGTCCAGATAGAGCAGGAAGTGTGTGTGTGTGCTCGCGTGCACGAATTTTGGTGGGAAGCAAGTCACAGGCAGTACTGGGCCTCAAAGAGCCCTGAAGGCTGAGTTAAAGAGTCACAACTTTCTCTCAAGGACATTGGTGAGCCCCCACTACCTCCCCCCATCAAATGAGTTTAAGGAAATGTTGCGGCAGCCAGGACCAGCAGGGCCTGGGGAGCTTTGCTTTCTCCAGGTCCCCATCCTCTACCAGTTCCCCAACTCCAGCCCTCCCCAGCTCACCTGGGAGCAGCAGACAGCAGACCAGAAGCAGGGAGATGAGTGAAGTCTGGCAGGCCCCAGGCAGCAGCCCCGAGGGCACCATGGTGGCCAGCCTGCAGGAGGAAGCTGCTTTAACGAGGTGCCACGCAGTAGGGAGCAGGCAGGGCCACCCGGGGAACGGAAGCGCAGTCACAGCAGCTAAGATTGCAGAAGTCCAGAGGCTGCACCTTGCCTAGACGTGGGGAGGGGCAGGGGGGAGATGGATACTCTGTGGCCACGGGGATCCAGAGCGGGGGTCCAATGAGGTGGAGAGCACCTGTGAGTCTCCACCAGGCCAGAACTGTTACCCAGCGCTGGCCCCCAAATGAACCCACAGGAAATACTAACACAATCGGCTTCCTTTGTTCTCAGCACTGGGAAGCCTGCGGGTGCAGTGCAGGGGGATGAGACACCTCCTTCCTGTTGCACTGAAGTGAAGGGGGGTGTTCTCTTCCCAGAGAGGAAGTTAATGGGGGACCTCCAGGCGCTGTGCTTCCGCAAGGTGATAAAGTGACATTTCAAGGCAACATTTTGAGGGGACAAGGCAGGGACTTCTAGGCAAGGTCTCAAGGAGTTAGTAGGAGATCTCAACGTTCCTGGGGTAAATAAGAGGTTTGGGCTTGATCACGAGGGACGGTTAAGCTGAGGGAAGACATGACAGGGAACAGAGCCCACATTTGTTGGGCACTTATGGGCCTGGATCTGGGTTGATCTCCTGAGTGGCTTCTTTAGGGCCCTTTACCTTTGAAGATCTTGGGGATCCCCCACACCCTGTCTGGGGAGAGCCGGATCTTCATCCACCATCTGTTGTCTGTCACAGATGCTACTTGTAACTGGCCCTTTCCCATTCTCATGCCCCTGCCCCTTCCTCCAGGAAGGTTTACACCCCAAAGCTTCTCTTGAACTGGGGGGGTCAGGTGGGCACTCTCCACCTTCATCGGCTCCCTCTCTCAGGCTTCTGGCCTGTTCCCTGTGCGTCTGACCTCAGCTGCAGAGAGGGACTTTGTTGAGGGCTGTGATTTCAGCTGGCATCCCTCCACTCTCCTCAACCCCAGGCCATGTGCTCCCCTTCACCTGGCGCACCCCCTCCCTCCAATCAGGCCTCTGCCCTGCTGCCCTGCTGCCCAGCCCCTGCCACTCCTTACAGCACACAGTCCTGAGAGAGAAACCAAAACCCGAATCAAGTTTATTTGTAAACAATACAGGCCTTCCCCACTTTTTGGAGAATGTTCACATTGAACCACTTCACATTTGCAAAAGACCTACAGGAGGACCTGTTTTCTCTAACAGAAACAAAGCCGGTGGGGGCGGGGGGTGAAAGTACCATCTGGGTGGTTTTACAGCTAACTGTTAGAGGAAAGACGGAATAAATTCAGCAACCTGGTAATTGTAGAATCTAGGGGGTCTCTGTACTATTCTTCCAGTGCTTCCCTGAAATGTTTGCAATTTTTTAAAATAAAATGTTGAAAAATTGAAACTGCTTCTCTGATGGATCTGGGTGACTGCTCATGGTGTCACCAGAGGGGCAGGCCGATCCTCAGTACCTCCTGCTGAAAAGGCACAATCCCCAAAAAAATCAGAAACCTCATCATGGGTTGGTCAAGTGAGGACAGAGGGATGAATTCAATTGTACCATAAGGTTGACATCAGGCTAATAAGCTCTACATGAGGAATAACCTAGTTTCTTCAACAAATATGTTGCAAGTGGTTTAAAAAAAGAGGAAGAGGAACCCGGAACTTAAAATAATCTGTCACCAACCAAAAGCAGTTTGGTGTTTTTATTTGAACAAACTGTAAACAAACACACACCAAATACTTAAGAGACAATTGGGGGAATCTAGACACTCAACAGCGACGCAGTAATATTGAGCAATTACTAAGCCTTTTAGGTGTGATAGTGATGTTATAGTTAGGGTTTGTGGTTATGTCTTTTCAGAATACATACGGAAGTTTTTACAGGTCAGATGATACAGTATCTGGGATTTGCTTCCAAATTATCCAGTGGCAGGAGTAGGGGTGGGGCTAGAACTGAAATGAGTCTGGTCACGGGTGTTGGAAATTATTGATGTTGGCTGTTGGTTAACTACAAGTTCATTACATTATTTTCCCTTATTTTGCATATGCTTTAAATTGTCCAGAATAAAAGTTTCTTAAATAGTAGCTGCACAAGACTGAGCCAAGATAATTTTGAAAAGATAAAATAAAAAATAAGAGAGACCTGCCCTGTAAATATATTCTCATGGCAACATCCTTTAGCAAGCAGGTGGTCTATTACCAGGCTAGATCCTGCAAGCAGCTGCTACCCTTCGGAATCTGTCCTACAGATACCCTTGAACATGGGTGAAATGACACGCATAAGACAGTTACTCACTTTAGCAGCAGCATGGGTATGGCAAAGGGTTGGGAATGACTACATGAACCCCAGTCGGGTGCAGATGTTGGGTATATGTCAGTGATGGGCTACAACACAGCCATAAAACAGAACAAGAAAATGCTGTATGCCTGGATTTACGGGGCCATCTCCAAGACCTATTAGGTGGCAAAAAAGGAAAAAAAAAGGAAAAGCTACAGATTAGAGCTCCACAGAGTAGTGAGCACACGCTACTATTTTTGCAAAAGATGGGAAAGCGTATGTGCCCAGATCTCTCTGTATGTGGATAAGAAGTGTCTCTGGAAGCAAAAACAGGAAACCAAATGATATTTATGGCCTCAAGGGAGATAACAGTGGTGCTTATGGACAGAGAAGGACAGTGGTGCTTATGTCAATATTACCTAACCAAAAAATAAAATAAAAAAGATTTATAATTTTAAATTATAATGAGTATTTAATTTTGAGAACTGTTATAAAAAGCAAATGTAACTACAAAAGTGTAGCACTCTCTGGGCAGGAGGGCTGCAATGCACGCAGTCCTAAGTCCTATGGGTAAGATAATTATTTCAATGTCTTTCACAATGTGGCTGATGCAGAACCTGGCTCAAGTACATGTGTTAAGTAGAAACACGTTGGCAAACACCGGATTAAGAATAATATCAAATATTTATTAAGCACTTGTTCACACATTTCCCTGTGAAGCGTTTGACATCCACAACCTCATGAGCTCTTTATATTAGTCCTGTGAGGTAGCAAGCATGACCATCCTCAGCTTGGCGTTGAGAACTGAGGTGCACAGAGGGGGTGCCATTTGCCTGAAGTCACACAGGGAGGAAAGGGAGAAACTGGCATGGAGTCTTACCTACATGCCATGTGCCTCCCCGCAATAAATCCTTTGTTAGTATACTTAACGAGCAGTGTTTGAGGATCCTGTGTTCCAAGCACTGGTCTAACTGCTAGCTGGTGGTTTAGATGTGAGCAGAGGTTGAATAATTGAATCTGGCTTCTGCAGCATGCATCTTATTCTAGCTACAGCCCCCGGGAGAACAGACTCTTGCAGAAGAGGGACCCAAGGACCACTGTTTCCAGCATTGGACATATGAGTTTATTCCCAGCTGGTGGAAATGACAGGACCCAAGGGTGGAAGTTGGGCAAGGTGAAAAGATTCAAGGGCCTGATTAGCTCCTTGCTTGTCCCTCAGGGGCCTGTGTCCAGCTCATGACCATGGACAATGCTATGGTTTGAATGTTTGTGTCCCTTCAAAATTCCTATGCTGAAATCCTAATGCCCAACGTGATGGTATATGGAGGTGGGCCTTTGGGAAGTGCTCGGGTCCCGAATGGGATTAGTGCCCTCATAAGAGACCTCAGAGAGCTCCCAGACCCCCTTCCACCACGTGAAGACACAGCGAGAAGGACAGACTATGAACCAGGAAGAGGGCCTTCACCAAAACAAGACCCTGATCGTGGACTTCCAGCCTCCAGAGCCATGAGAAATAAATGTCTGTTGTTTATAAGCCACCCAATCTGCACTACTCTCACAGCAGCCCAAATGGACTGAGACAGAAGAAAAGTCAGTTCACAGAGGTGGCATCTCCAGACAGGAGTAAGGCACACAGGTGATGAGGCTGCCCTCTCCCTTGGGTCCCTCTTAGATGAGGGAGCGGGAGGCCCTCTTAGTGACCATCTGCTCCAGTCCCCGGGGCAGAGCTGCTGGTGGGTGGGCTTCAGCACACGCTGAACACTGAGGGGGGCTGGCCTTGGTACTTCTCGTGGGCCATCTTGAGGATGGGTATGAGGTTCTGGAAGGTGGGGCGGAATGAGGCGTCGGCCTCCCAGCAGTTCTTCATCAGGACGTAGATCTGGGGAGCAAAAAACCAGCGCTGCAGTTGCTGCTCTCTCTGTGGTCCGCTGGTGGCAGCAGGGGGGAGGCAGGGGGGTCCTCACCTCACAGGGACATTTCTCCGGCCGAGGCAGCCTCTCCCCTCGTTCCAGCACCTCGGTGAGCCTCAGCACCGTCATCTGTCCCTGCGTGAGGCCGATGAGTTCGATGAATTTCTACAGAAGAAACAGGACAAGCTTTTTTGCAGGAGTTCTGAACCCACTATCACTTGTCAGCAGCATAACTTTGGACTTAGGACGTCACCTCTCTGGACCTCAGTTTTCTCATCACTAAAATGACGTGGTAACAATACTACCATTGGGACTATTATGAAAATTACATAAACTAAGACAGGCATATCTTGGAGGTATCACAAGTTCTGTTCCAGATGGCTGCAAAAAGCAAATATCACATTAAAGCAAATCAGATGAATTTTTTTTGTTCCCCAGTGCCTATAAAGGTTATGTTCACATTATACTGTAGTCTATTAGGAACACAATAGCATTGTCTTAAAGAACAATATATATACCTCAATTAAAAAATACTTTCTTGCTAAAAAAAATGCTAATCAACGACTGAGCTTTCAGCAAATCATAACCACCCACCACAGACCGCCATCACAAACATAATAATGAGAAAGTTTGGAATACCACAAGAAATACAGGGTTGGACATGTGAACCAAGCTGGGCCAATTAGAGAAAGGCTTGAATTATGCTGCAAAGAGGACCCTGGGTCCCCTCAGCTGAGGGGGATGCGTGCTTGGAGGGCTGGCTGGGAGGGGCCACTGTTGCCCCAACAAAGGGAGGGAGGGCCTGTCTGAGACATGCTACCACAGAGAACAGCGAGAGATGGAGAAAATGGAATACCTGATAACACCTGAGGGTCTAGATCAAGCCATGCCCACTGTCTCTCCTGGAGTTTGCAAACGGCAGAATAAACTATCCCTATTTGAGTTGGGTTTGTGTTACAAATCAGAGCCTCCTGCACTGCAAGAGGCCCAATGTGCAGGTCGTGATGTAAGACCCAAGTGGACTAAGCACCTGCTAAGGTGGAGCACTGGGAACTGAACGCATGCCTTTCTAACTCCTCGAGTGCACGTTGTGGGCGCGGGCTTGGCTCTTACCGAAGGAGGGCTCTGACTGGAGTCACAGTAGGTCAGGAGCTCATACATGGTGACTCCAAAAGACCAGACGTCAGATGAATAGTAGAACTTACATTCCTTTAGGCACTCTGGGGCGTACCTGCAGAGACGGGGCACTCAGTTGCTGGGCCAGACCAGGCTAAAAGCCTTCCCTGGGGCTTCGGAGCTCTCTGGTCCAATGAGAGCCCCAACCCTGAAGGGAGGGGCAGTCTCACTGGGACCAGGACCTGTCATCTGAGAGCCCAGCATCTGTGTCCTCCACCCTGTCTGCTCCAGCTAACCCTGGCAACCCCCTCCGGGTGGGTCCCGCCTGGTCACCAGAACACGGGGCTGTCCCCATCCTCTCGCACGCAGTAGTACTCATGGCCTTCAGGCACAGCCTTGGCTAGGCCAAAGTCCCCGATCTTGACCAGCCTGTCGTTGTCCAACAACACGTTGCGGGCAGCCAGGTCGCGATGGATGTAGTGCTGTGCGTGTAGGTAGGCCATGCCCTGGAGGCGGAGCGGGTCAGGATCAGGGGTCAGGGTCAGGCCTGAGGAGCTGTGATCAGTTTGGCTGCGGGATAGTCAGGTCAGGCCTGCGCGGACCAGGCAGGAGAGCGGGAAGGATGGCAGGTGGGGCAGAGGACAAGGAAGCAGAGCGGGACAGCGGGGCGGGGCGATGCTCTCCGTCCTAGAGGCCGGGCGAATCCGGAGGGAACGGCGTGGGTGGGGCCCGATGCAAAGCTGAATAGGCGCGGATGCAGGGAAGCCAGCTCAGGGGCGGGCCAAGCCGGCGAGCAGGCGGGGTGGGACCTTCAGGCCTGGCCTAGGAGGAGGGGACAGGCTCTGGGAGCATGGGCGGGGCGGCCCACCTCGCAGATCTGCTGGGCGAAGAGCAGAAGCTGGGCCAGCCCGACGCTGTGCCGGGGCAGGTAGTCTCGGAGGCTGCCCAGAGGCACGTACTCCATGACGAGCTGCACGGATTTCTCGCCTGGCGCGGGACAGGGGCGACCCGTGCGGACGACAGAGGCAGGGGTGGGCTCTGAGCCCTGCGGCTCCCCACCCCAAGGTGGGCAGGGGGCACCAAGACTCGCCCACACTAGGCCCAGCTCTCAGGTGGGACAGACCCTGGCGAAGTTCTGAAGGTGGCTGCCGCCCATCTCAGCGCCCGCGGGTGGACGGAGGCCGGCTACAAACTGCGCCCCCCCCGCCTGGGACTGAGAGGCCCTGAGTGGCCCGGGCCTTCCGGCCCCGCCCACCTTGATCCCCGCAGCAGCCCTTGTACTTGACGATGTGCTCGTGATACAGCGTGCGCAGGATGTCGATCTCCCGCCTCCAGCCCCTGCGAAGCTGGGGCCCGCAGCCAGCCTTGAGGGCCTTGACGGCCACCATCTCGCCAGTGCCGTCGTTGGTCGGGTCGTAGCAGTACAGGCTGACCTTGCCAAAGTGGCCCTGGCCGGAGCACGCGGGAGGGTCGGATCCACCCGCGGCTCCCTAGGCCGCGCCTCTGGGCAGGTGGGTTTGGAAGATCCCACCCAGGCCCCACCAACTCCGCGCTGGAGGGTCTCCCTGGACCCTAGGCTCTCCTTTCAATTTCCCTGGGCCTCCCTTGAATATGAGGGTCTTGTAGGCCAAGTTCCACCCACATCTCCCGAATTAGGCAGGTCTTACGACCCAAACTCTCCTACCAGGTGGAAGCACCGAGGCCCCGCCCCGTCCTCCGAGCCCCACCCTCACCTCGCCCAGATCCCGGATCTTCTTCAAATAGCGCTTATGAAAAACCGTGGGGTCTGACGCTGACGAGTCCGGGTTCACCGCCAAGACGTCAACGAGATCTGGAAGAGCCACAGTGGATGAGCCCGGATCCCCTGCTGCTTTCCCCAGCAGGCCCACACTTGGGGGCACAGAAGGCGGGTGCCTGCTCCCCCACCATATGATCCCAGAGATAAGGAAACTTTTGCAACACCTGGAAAATTCCACTTCTTACCCAACATGCAGAGTTGGCTGCATCAAAAGCGATACCTGGGATGTTCTGAGATTGGGTAAAGGGCAAACTTTCCATCAAGGGAGAAACAAAAATAACTAGGGTCTAATTCACCTTAAGAGCTGTAACTCCCTCCAAACCAAGTACTAAAGTGCTTGGCTTCTTCTACACGCTCTTAAGTACATTAGACATCCGCACACACGGGGTCGATGCAGAGACTGGGAGCGCCATGCCTGTGTCAGCGGGGACCCGAGCCCCCTCCCGGTCCCCCAGAGTCCCAGCATTGGGTGGGGCTCACTCTGGGGCTGCAGCCTAGTGAGGTCCCGCAGGATGGTACGGAAAGACGGCCGCTGTGCCGGCTCGTAGGTCAGGCATTGACTGGTGAGCGTTGCCAGGTCTGGGCAAGAGGGCTCTGGCAGCTGGTGCTGCTTCTGGTAGAAGCGCTCTTTCTGTGGGGAAGGGGAGCCAGGGGAGTCAGTGTCCCTTCCCCCAAGTCCTTTTCTCCCAAAGGCAGAGTCAGGGTTCCAGAGGGAAGGACTGGACTAGCTAGGTCCTTGCTCTTGTGATTCCCACTTTACAGATAAGGCCACTGAGGGTTGCAAAGCGAAGCAGACTTAGCCAGCCACCACTGTAGTCAGTGCTGACTTTGAGCAAGACCTGCTGATTCTGCTGTGCAGACGCATCGCACACGTGGCCCTTCCTGCCCTGGCTTCCACCCACCTCTGCCCCCAGCTCATCTCTCTGTCTCCATCAAGCTTTTGCAGACTGTACCTCCCAGAAGGCATCAAAGCCTCTGGGCCTTTGCACATGCTGTGCTCTTTGCTTAGGCCCTTCCTAGCCTGGGTCCCTGCAATATTTCTGTACTTAAGATTAAAACCTGCTCAAGGGAAGGCTTGCCTGATCCCTCAACTGGTTCAGGGACATCCTCTGGGACCCTCTCTCCACCCCAGCCTGTGCTTTTCCCCATCATTGCCCTGGTCACTCTGCTTAAAACTGAAGCACGCTGATTATATGCTGTGTGCCACAACAACCTTATGAATGAAGTAGGTACTATAGTTAATCCCAAGTGACAGATGACCTGACAGAGCCCCAAAGAGATGGTGCAATGGGAGGCTGCCAGAGGGAAGGCAGCTTTGGCCCAGAATGTGCCTCTGGACTTCTTGAAGCTGCCAAGCCCCTCTGTGGGAAAGACCTCGGGGGCCCCTGGACATACCTCAGAGGGGCCACGGCCCTGCAGGGGGGCCTCCCCGTCGAAGCAGATCTCCAGCAGAGTGGCGCCAAAGCCCCACTTGTCAGCCGCAGTGCTTAGGCTATTGGCCCCACCAGACAGGCACTCGGGCGCTGTCCAGGGGATCCGCTCTACCCGCTCTGGGGGCCAGGGTCAGATGTCACCAAGGGTAAAAGGAGTGGGGAAAGCCCGGCCCCATGCCCAGCCCTGTCCTGGTCTTTACCCTCCCTGGAGAGGACACTCAGACCCACTCCGGGGTCACTCAGCTTGATGAATGGGCTGGTGCCTTCCGCCAGCCCCAGCCGTGCCAGCAGGATGTTCCGGCCACACACATTTCCATGAACCAGGCTCTTGTCTTCCTGGGGAGGGGTGGAAAGGGGCCGTGGCCACTAGGGGATTGTAAACCCCGACCCAACCCTGGTTCTCACAGGGACAACCCATGTGAAAAAGACACGCATAGTCATTCCTGGGACCCCGATACATTGTCATCATGAGCAGGCAGCTCTGGGTGCCCAGTGAGTATTTTCTGTTCTCTCAGAGCTGGCGGCCAAGGCGCTCGTCCAGGGACAAAAGGCCAGAGGACCTGACTGTTGTCCTCAAATCCATGCCAGGCATGCTGCTGCCCCAGGGCCTTTGCACTAGCTGTTCTCTACACCTGGAATGTGCTTCCCCCGGACACCCTCTCGACTCCCCCTCTCCCTTCCAGACCACCTTAGTGAGGCCTTCCCCCACCCATGTATTTAAAAGCTCACCTCTTTCCCAACTGCAGCAACTCCTTATCTGCCCCCTGGCTTTGTTTTTCATGGTTCTTACTACCTTCTAACTTATTAAACAATGTACTTAATATTTCTCTCATTCATTCTTCCCAACTAAAATGCCAGATCCTGGAGAATAGACTTCTGTTTTATCCTCAGGTCTGTCCTTAGAGCCTTGGCCACATAGGGGATGCTCTGAAAAGTGGGGTGACTGGACCAGGAGGGGCTAGGGGTGAATGGGCCCCCAGGGCTTCAGATGCCAGGGGGCAGAGTTTGCTATTCTTCCCTAGGGGAGATGGGAGCCCCAGGAGTGTGTGAGCAGAGGAGGTCCGTGGAAAGATCTCCCAGGGCCAGCATGTGGATTGAGGAACGGGTCAGACCTCCACAGCCAAAGCTGAGGCCACCCTGGCCTCCCCACCCACCCGGCCCCTCCCACAGGCCACGCACCAGGTAGCTGAGGGCGCTGGCCAGCTGCTGGGCCACCACCACCTTCCAGGCCACAGGTACATGGCCCCTCTCCCGCCGCAGCCACACATCCAGGGGCCCACGCTCCACGAACTCCGTCACCATGATGTCTGCAAAGGCCCAGCCGCTGCAGGGGCCACCCGCCTGCCCCCACCCTCCAGAGTGCCAGGGCCAGGGCAGGGGCTGTGGGTAGGGAAGGTGAGGGGGCATTTGGGAGGGACTCTGGGGAGAGGAGAAATGCAGGATGGAGCACAGGCCGAGGTGTATGCAGGGTAAGACAGAGGTGAGTGCGGGCATCTGGGTGCAGGGGGGGCTGGGGCACATGGGAGGCTGATGTTTAAATGGCCATGATGAGGATGGACACGGGGCAATGGGGCGTGGGTGCAGACGAGAGGAGGTGTGGAGCCTGAGGCTGGGCATAAGTGCTGTTAGGGTCCCCTGAGCAGGGGTGCTCATGGGGTGGGAGGTAAGCAAAGTAAGGGTTAAGCCATGGTTGGGGGGAAGGCAGGAGATGGACACATGGGCTGGCAGGGGTTACCCACACAAGGAGTTTTGGGGTATACACAGGGTAGGGGTAGAGGTGGGGGTAGAACAGGGGCTGAGATCTGGAGGACTGGGGCATCCAGCAGGGCTGGGGTCTGCAGGGGTCACAGTGCCAATGGGTTAGAGGGGAGACAGGGGCTGGGCTGTAGAGGGGTTTAGATGATATCTGGAATGTGGAAAGCAGTGGGGAGTCAGGGTGTAGGTTGAGGGTTGGGGTGTAGCCAGGGATCAGGGTACAGATAATGGTCAAGGTGTAGCCAGGGGTTGGGGTATAGGATGAGGGTCAAGGTATAGCCAGGTGTTAGGGTACAGTTGAGCTGAGTAGTCAGACTGGGATGTAGTGAGGGATCAGAATGCAGGTCAAGGGTCAGCATGTAGTTGGGGTAAGGATGCAGCTGCTTGGGGGGTACCCGGGGTGGGTGTAAGTGGGAGTCAGCCTGTAAACAGGGGTGGTTGAGTGGGGCCCACTCACTCTCGGAGCCATGCACGCAGACGCCATGCATGAAGGCCAGGTGCACGTGGGAGACCTGGCTCATGAGGCTGGCTGTCTCATAGAAGGCCTGTGGGGACAGGGCAGGGCAGGTGACCACAGACCCTGTGCCCCTCCTCTTGCCCCGTCCCCTGGCTGAGCTCACTTACCAGGGCGATGTCGTGATGGCTGGGGTCCAGCACCTTGAGTACCACTCGCAGTTCTTGCCCGCGGCCCCCGCTGGGCAAGGGAGAGTCCCCACCATCTGCCCTGCCCTCCTTGGGGCCTTGGCCCCCCACTCGCAAGAGGCCTTCATACACGTTGGTCCTGGTGCCCTGGCCCAGGTGGGACAGCTGGGGGAACATGCATGGAACATCTCCACGATGACAGCACCAGGCTGCCCTCCCCAGGGCCCAGCGAGGGAGTGGGGTGGTCAGAGGGGCAAGGGCGGCCAGCTGCGCACACCTGGGTGATGTCGTCCTGGCAGATCCGGTGGAAGCTGAGCTGGCTGAGGTTGAGTGGCCTGGTTTTGGCCCGAGGTCCCCGCATGATGATGAGATTGGAGATTTCTGCGAGCAGAAGTCAAGTCAGGAGGGCTGGCATGGAGGGCGCGGGGCGATGCTATCCCCACCCCACGGCCCCCGCATCATACCTCCTGGCCGTGGCAGGCAGCAGCGGCGCAAGGAGAAGCAGTCATTGCCGGTCCGCAGCGAGCAGCCTTGCAGGGCAGCCCGCAGCTCCCGCGCGCTGGGGAAGGACCGGTCCCAGCCCTCTAGCCTGAAGACCCCAGCCTGCAGCTTGATGGGGAACCTGCGCAGACGCAAGCACCCGGCGCCAGGTGCCTGGAGAGGGCGGCAGGGGCGGTGAGCAGAGGTCCAGGCAGGGAGCGTGCCCAGCCCCAGTCCAGGACCCCTGCCCCAGGCCCACCTGGTCGCGCTGCGCCACCGTGAGGATGAGGCGGCTGAGGTGGCTGGTGCTCCAGTGGATGAGGTAGAGGCCATCCTCAGGCTGCAGCTTGGCCAGCACGAATGGCTCCCTGCAGGGGACAAGGGGGCACTGTCAGGGCACCTGGGGTCATGGCTGGACCTATGCAAGGCCACAAGGAACCACAAAACCTGCCCAGAGGGGAACACTCCCCACTGGGACAAGATAACAAAGCCAACAGGCCCAGACACCTACACGCATGTGGCTCACATGGTGCTATGGACTCAACGTCTGTCCCCCCAAATTCACATGTTGAAATCCTAACCCCCAAGGGAAAGGTGTTTGGAGGTGGGGCCTTTGGGAGGTGGTTAGGTTCTGAGGGTGCAGCTGTCATGAATGGGATCAGTGTCCTTATAGCAGAAACCCCAGAGAGCTCCCTCAATCCATCCACCGGGTATGGACACGGTGAGAAGATACCATGCATGAATCAGGAAGCAGGCTCTCACCAGACACCAGACCTACCAGCACTTTGACCTCAGACTTCCAGCCTCCAGAACTGTGAACAATAAATGTCTGTTGTTTCAAAGCCCCCTAGTCAGTGGTATTCTGTCCCAGCCCATACGGATGGACTAAGACACACACTGACGTGGCCCACAGACCCCTGTATGGGTGGCACACACTTAGCTGTGATGTGGCACGGCCATGGCCCTCGAGAGATGGAACAGCTTGCCCTCCCCTGGTGTAGAGAAGAGGCTCAGAGGATCAGACCTCGGAGACACCCCCAGGAACAAGTCCCAGGCGGTCACAAACAGGATAGGAGACATCCAGGCACAGGGATGATGACCAGACAAGCTGACAGTCACCAACCCCAACCTGGTGGCATGCAGGATGGCCACACAAACGTCTGATAACCACCTCACATTCTCCACCCCACATGTCCCAACAGAATTGCTTAGACAGTGACTCACAATTATTGGGGCACACACCTGCAGGGTGGAAATTCCCACAGATATAGTGGAATGGCCGTGCAACATGCAGCCTCACAGAAATCAGCTGTCCCGCCACATGAGAAAACAGGCGCTGATGATTTTATACACAGTTACTGGAGCAGTGGTGCAACCGCCCCCTAAATAGCCGTTAAACACCCAGATGTGCAGGGTGACAGTCCCAAATGCAGGTGCTCCTTAGACACGCCTGCACCACTGCAAGTGCATCTCCCATTACTCCTGGTGTGCACACCCACACACGCAATGACATGCACACACACACACACTGTGGTATGAGTGGATACTGGCACACGGGCAGTTACATGTATACACTAAATGCTTGTACACATGTGCTCACATGTGCAAACACATTAAGACAGTGCCACCTGTACCTGCATGTGCCCTCTCACATGAGTGAACACACACACTCACACACAGAGACACAAATGCACATAAACACGCACACACACCTCATTCAAGCCCCGCAGACCCTGTGGCTCATGGTCTTGCCAGCAGCCCCCACCTTGGCCCTTGGCAGCACCTGCCCTGCCCAGCACTCACATCAGGGGCCCGTGGATGCCGTCCTGGATGCTCATCACCAGCCGTGGAGGGGCCACCTCGTGGCACAGGTAGTGGCTTGAGTCAGCTGTCAGGCGGAAATAGCCATCCACCAGCGACACCAAGGACAGGGCTGCAGCCCGGGAAGGCAGGGTCAGCTCCTGCAGGCCAGGGGACGTCAGGCAGGCACCGCAGGCCAGGGACGCTCCCCCACCCCACAATGCCCCAGCCCCCAGTCCCACCAGGCACTTGTCCTGACAGTGCACGCTGACGTGGCGTTCTTTCAGCACCACGTGGGTGATGTCCCGGAAGTCACAGAAGTCAGTCCACGGTGCCTCCTGAGGCCTGTCTGCTGGCTGGCTGCCCACCTCTTGGGCCTTAGCTTTCTTCCCAAATGGGCCAGCATGGCAATTCCGGCTGCTGCCCCCGCCATCACCACGGGGACCCTGGAAACCAGCAGGTGGGGTGGGTGGAAGGAGCAATGCCATGCCTACATTGTCCCCACACATTCCCCCCAGGGAAAGGCAGGAGCTGGAAGCACCAGGGATGCTTCTTAGGCATCCCTCCTGGAGCCGGGGGTCACAGGAAGGACAGAGGATCCGCCCTCAAGAGACACAGGCCAGAAGTCAGAACCTCGAGGAGGAAAGTCTCTACCCTTCTTACCACAAGAGGTGAAGACCCCAGAAATAAGGTCCCTGGGGGACAAACAGAGGACACCTCCCAGGAAACAGACCCCAGGAGACAGACGGACACCTTCTAGAGCCACGTGGGGAAAGAGCTCACTGCAGCCACCCTCAGAGACCGTGGCCAAGGCTGAACATGAGCTCCCGCCCGGCTCTCCCCAGACCCGTAGACAGAAGAGGCATCTTGCTCACCTCTGCCTCCATCTGCCGCCACTGGATACCACCAGTGCCCGTCACCAGCACCTCATGGGTGGGGGCTCTGGCGGCGGACTCGGGCTGGGGCTCCGGAGGGGCCCGGCTGCTGTCCCGGATGTAGCAGGGCTCTCCCTCCGCCCGGGCCAGCGGCTCCAGGTGGCACACGGGCATGCGCTCTGTGCCGAAGCGGGGCGCCAGCTGCTCGAGTGTGGCCAGGTACTTGACCATGATGACCTGCTGGGAGAGGCGGCCTGGCTGGAAGGCCTGCAGGAACCTGCGGAAGATGCTCCGTAGGCGCAACCGGGTCAGCGCATTGTGCTGCTGGATCTGCAGGCGGAAGGAGCGTGGGATGCAGTCCTTGAAGCTGTGGGGACAGCCAGTGGGCAGGGGGGAGAGGGCGGGAGGGGGGCTGGTCAGAAGCTTGGGGTGCAGACTCCGCTGGGTTACATGGGGCGAGTGGCTTAACCTCTCTGAACCTCAGCCGCCTTGTCCAGAAAACAGGCAGGCTGTCGTGAAGGTGGAAAGGTGGAACATGGTAAGGGGCTGGCACAGGGAACCCGATGGTTTTGGGGTCAAGGGCACAGAACACCAGAAGAGGCTGAAATCCCAGCTCTTGGGCAACTTCCTGAAGCTCCAAAGGGCTCTGTCTTCTCATCCATAAAAGGGGATCACACAGTGGCCACCTCTCAGGCTGATGAGAGAATCGGGACTAGTGACTGGCATGTGATAAGGACTACCTGTCAGGTGTTACTATTATTGAAATCACTATTGCTTATATCATTAATATTATGAATAGCAATAAAAGGCACAGCTCTGGGAGGCCCCTCTGTTCCTTACAAAGCCCATCCCTTCTTCTGCTGCCTGCCCCTCACTTGACCCCCAGTACAGCCCACAGATTTCTGAGCTTCAGTCTCCATATCCTAAGCCTTGTCTCCCACCCCTTGAGCAGAGAGATCCTAATGCCTGAGGTTGTAGCCGCCTTCTGCTCCTACTTCCAAGCTTTCCAGGGCTCCCTAGCGTCCTCAGGAAAAAGGCCCCCTGACTAGTGCTGGCTGACTCCCGCTCTCAGGCAATCGTACTCCAAGTTCACTTCCCCCAGAAACAGGCCTTGCCTCCTACTGCCTCTGGGCCTTTGTATATGTTATTTCCTTTGTCTAGAATGCTTTGCCAACACACTTCAAAGCTGAAAAAAGCCAATTCAACCTTCAGGCACTAGCAGAAATGTCACTTGACCTGATCTCCAAGCTATTCAGCTTCCCAGCGCCCTGGGCTTCACTGTCCCAGCCCTAGTCCTCCAGAGAGATAACATCATAGGGACCAAAAAAAATATGTGCTTTAAGAAGAACCACTGGTCCTAAAAGACCCATTTCTCCTGCTGCATCCTCCCAGCAGTGTGCCCAGATTGCCCCAACCCTCACTGCAATAGAGGTGAGCATAGCTGGCCCCCAGATCCACTCCCCAGCCTCCTGCCTCCTTCTAGCCCTCCCTTGAATTCTATGCAGTTCACCAAACTCACTCGATTCCAAACCACACTTCTGCCAACATATCAGGGAGGCCTCAGGGCCTTTGCAATGGCTGTTCCTTCTGTATAGAATGCTCTTCCAGGTACTCCCCAATATTCCTTCAATATTTGAATTTGAATGTCACCTTCTCAGTGAGGAATTCCCAGACTACCCAATTTTAAATTACACACTCCTCCCTCCCTGACACTCCCCTTCTTCCTCTTTCTGCTTAAGTTTTCCTTGTTGCATTTATTACCATCTGAAACACTGGACCTTTTATATTTGTATTGTTTATTGCCTGTCTCCTCCACCAGATGTGAGCTCCAGGAAGGCAGGGGTTTTTGTGACTTGCTTACTGTTGTGTCCTCAACACCCAGAACTAGTGCCAGCATACAGCAGATGCTCAATAAATGTTTGTTGAATAAATGAAGGCATGGCAGTCTGGAACGTCTACCCTGACTCCCAAATGTCCAGGCATTTCCATCCACTTACAAAGCGTCCCCACCCATATCCCAGACACCTGATTTTCTTGGCCACCTTCTCCAGGGGAACACCGTGGCAGACAGCAAAGTGGCAGAGGTGAAGAAAGGCCATGCCCAGACTCTCGTTCTTAAAGTGGTGGATCTCTTCTTCATTTGACAGCTCCCACAGTGATGCCACATCATTTACAAACTCATGCTTGCCCTGGAGATGGGGGAACCGGGCAGAAAGGGAGGCATGAGAGCCTATTCACTACCCAGCTCTGGCCACTTTGGGGAGGGAAGGGACCCTGCATTTTCTGGAAAGGCCAATATTCAGCAAGCATGCCTCATCTGTCTAAACCCAGGCCTGTGGCAGACATCACTAATCAATCACAGCCTTCTTTCCAATGCAGTCCTAAGAGTCTCAGAACCCTTTGGTTCAGGCAGCCAAAGGATCTCAGATGGCATGAATTGAAACCTATTAGCTATAGTGAATTGGGAGGAAAGGGGGGGGCTCTTCAACTGTCCCTAAGCCCCCCACAAATCATCCAGCCTTCCTAGCTCTGCTCACACCTGCTCAAAGAGGTACTCAAAGGAGGCTGGGTCCAGGAGTTGCACCCCCTGCTCTGCCTGTTCTGAGGAAGCCTCAGTCCCTGGGGGTGCACAGCGATACACAGCCGGCTCCTGAGGATTCATGCCATGCCAGTTCCGGAAATAAAACCTGCAGGAAGGCAGAGGGCATAACTGGGGCTTATCATGGACCCAGATGACCTCTAGGAAGGTGGAGTGATGGGAAGGGATAGGACAGAACAAAAGGGGACAAGCCTTTCAGGAGGCCTTCACTTACCTCATACGGAAGTACAATGTCAGGCTTATGTCTCTGGAGACCTCCAGGACATGGTTTGGGGGCAGCCAGACCTGGGCCTGAGCATCAAAGAGGGCAAAGAGATTGAAGCAGGGAGGAGTGATGCCTGGAATGGGGAGAAAGGAGGTCAGGAGTCAGTGTCTGCTGCCATCTCCCCTATGGACCCCCAGACCCACTGTCTCCCCTCCCTGAGCCTCCTCCCCTGTTGACAAGAGGACAATGCAATATGTTGACCATGCTGTGGCCTCACAGGGGACTACATCTCCAAGACTCCTTTGCAGCTGGGATGGGGCCATTGCGCTAGCTTCTGGCCAACAGGATGTGGGCAGAAGAGATGCACAGGTTTGCAGGCCTGGAAATAAACCGCCCTGCCATCTTCCCTGGCCCAGGTATGTTGCAGACCCTTGTGTTGGCGGTGAAGCTACAAGATAGAGATGAACCATCTGACCTATGTTAGATTTGAGGTAAACCTTCATTGTCTTGACCCAGGAAAATCTGGGGGGATGAATGTTACTCCAACTAAAGCTATCCTAAACTGACTAATACAACTCTACAAACAGCTGGCTCTTTGGCTGGTCTCCCCTGAACTCCAGCCCAAGAAATATCCAACTACCTCCCAGCTGTCTCCCACTGGACATCACAAGCCCCCTTAGACATGACTTGTTCCAAACAGATCTCATCTGAGGTCCCCAAACCTGCCCCTTCTCTACCCAGTTCTTTCAGCCAGGACTTGGTTCTCATCCTCAACTCCTCTTTCCTGCTCTCCCCCACATCAGATCAGTCATGAGTCCTGCTCTCTGGGGTCCACCCACTCCCTTCCAATCCAAAGCCCGGCCCTAGTCCAGCCCCCAGACGCACTGTCATTCCCAGCTGCCCAAGACAGCTTTTATACATGTCACTTAAAAATTCTATCTAAAATAGTCCATTCAGGATAACTTATAAACATTTAAGTACGAGCCACCAGAAATAAGGAAATAAAATTTGGCAAGTATAATTGAAGCCCCTGCCTACATCCACCTCCTTTCCCCTCTCATACAGAGGTAACCACATTCCTGAACTAGAGTTTATAATATTCTCTATGAGCTAGTCTTGAATATTATACTTTAAATGCAGTATTATATTATACTATAGGTGTCCTTCTGCAATTTGCTTTTTCATTCTATGATAGCTTTTAAAGCTTCACATGTGTTGTGTGTAACATCAGTTAAGTTCCCTTTTCCCTGTCTGTACAGTATTCCAGTGCTCAACCCTACTAAAAAATCCCTGTAGAGGGACTCTGAGATGGTCCCCCATTTTTCACTAAGATAAATGAGGCAGTTCTGAACATTCTCATATGGAACACATGAACTGAGTGTTTGTAGAGTCATATCTAGGAGTAGGAACTGTGTGGCCCCAAGCAATGTATATTTCAATGTTGTTAGATGATGCCAATCTCCAAAGTCACTATATCCAAGTATACTGCCTCCCACAGAAGGAGAATGCCTCCCTGAGGGACAGCTTCTTAAAGAACCAATCTGTTTCACTCTCTGGCTTAAACTTTCCATGGCTCCCCATTGCCTTTGAGAAGCCCAACCCCCTCAGCATGGAATAACCATGACTTGGACCCTGACAATTACCCACTGGTTTCAATTCCTACTTCCCCTTCTAAATTCTTGAAACTGACACTCCAGTTACTCTAAAAGTCTTCACTTCCTATAAAGGATCAAGCTGTCTGAGCCCTCTGCACACGCCGTTCCCCCTGCCAGACATGTTTTTACATCACCCAGCACACCTGTGTGAGTTCTTTAAGAATCAGCCATCGATGGGAAAGAACCAGGTGTTGAAGAAATCCACTGTTAAGACCCCATCCAGTTGCAGGGAAGAGGATTTAAGAGTACTTCCCGGAGGAAGGGGCATGTAAGCCAGGTCCCCTTGGACAGACCTCCTCTGGCAGAAGAAATTACACTTCTGAGCACCTCCCTTGCAGGCTCTCAGCCACTGCATGGTTCCCTACTGCTCTCAGGACAAAGTCTAAACTCTTCCCTCTGGCACTGAAGGCATTACAGATCTGGCCCTGGATACCCTCTCCCCTGTCATCTCCTACCTGATGGTCTCCTCCAGCCTCATCTTCCTGCCCCTGCCCTCACCCACTACAGTCTGTTCCCCCACAGCAGCCAGAGAGCACCTGTACCTGTGACCCCTAAGTCGAGTCCAGTCACTCCCCTCCTCAGCTCACAGTCCTCTGTGGCTCCCACCTCACTTGCAGTAAAATCCAAAGTCTTCCCTGAGGACTTTGCTCAACCTGCCCAGTCACCTTCCTGCCCTCCCCTCCTCCTGTTTCCTGTTGCCTCATTCTGCTTCAGCCTCCTGTCCTCACTCTTCCTAGCAAGCTCCACCTCAGGGCCTTTGCATGTGCTATTCCCTCTGCCCAGTGCCATCTTCCCTGAGATATTTCTGCAACTCTCTCTCTTATTACCTGAAATTTTAAATTTCTCTCCATCATTTATCCTGCCCTCCTACACAGTTTTCTTATTTATTGTGTTTCCTGCTGATTTTCTCATTGGAATCCCACCTCTACAAAGGCATTGACTTGAGACTGGCACATGGTGGTTGCTCACTCAATTCTGCTGAATGAATGGACAGATGGATGGTGGGATGGACAGGGCCCAGCTGCTGCCCGCACCTCCACCCCCCACCCCATGGGGCCCATGCCCCAGACTCACCGACTTTGTGTGCAATGTGGATGCAGACCTCCTCTGCAGTCAGTGTGGCCTCACTGAAGGTGACCCAGGGCTCCCCACCACCAGGGCCAGCCCAGTGCAGAAGGACCTTCAGACCACCTCTGGTGGCCAGGGGCTGAGTTTCATCTTCATCGGGCTTGCTGGCCCTGGTGGCGGGCCTCCGGTGCCACAGTGGCATGCTCTTGACAGCTGGCTTGGCTGAGAAGGGACAGTCCATCAGCCCCAGGGCCTTGGCCTGGAGGGCCCTTTCATCAGTTCAACCTTCCACCTGTCCAGGCTCAGGCGTGAGGGGAATATTCTGGACCCTCCTCATCGTGCAAACTTGCACACCCAATTCCCCTCCCTGAGCCTGTTTCTACATGTTTGATGGAAGTTGGGGGATGCATCCCCACCTATTAGACTGTTATGGACAATAATGACACTGAACCCCTTTGTTGAACAAATTTGCACCAATATAACAATCTGTTCTGAACCCACCTTCCCAAAATAATCAGGCAGGTAGGTGTGGGCCTGGGGGCAAATCCTGGCTCTCCCTGTGTCAGTTCAGGAAAATCACTTGGCCACACCCAGCCTCAGTTTCCCCATGTGGAAAATGGAGATGCTCAGAGCATTGCCGTGAAATGGGTGTGACATTTCAATGCAGTCCTGCATGTTACACGCTCAGCACAGACCTTGATACAAGGCATGAAAAAATAACCAATACGACAAAAACAAGAATAAAATCATTATTGCTGGTTACATCATCCTGATTGTTTTTCTCTTTGGGGCTGATTCCTCCCTCCCACATCCACGCTCATGAGCGACCCCAAGCCCTGATTACTGCCCTCCACCCAGCCTAGAAAGGCTGTATTGAGCTCTCTCTGCCCAATCTAGCTCCGAGATTTTTCCAGAGCCAGGCCCAGTGTCTCCTGGGAAAGGCCGTCAGGCATTCCTCCACACATGTTGCTGCTTTAAGACAAACAGTGATGTGAAGCAGAAAATGTTCTAACAGCACAATGTCGGATCTCTTAGGAATCAGCTCCTCTCTGGGCCTGTTTCCTCATCTGGAGAATGGGCACGCAACAACCTCTCCCTTAAAGAGATGCTGGGAGGACTCAACAACATGAGACTGGGAAAGGGGGCTGCACAGGGCCTGGCATGCAGTCAGCGCCTGGTGAATGGTCGCTGTGATTACCTATTACTGTCTGAGAAAAGATCGTGGGGATTCGGCCTTTGGGGTGTCCATCTACTCCCTCCTCGATCCCACTGGGCTCAGACCCAGCTTTGAAGATGGGGTCGGGGTGATGTCTGCAAGGCTCCAAACTCCGCGGGCAGGGGCAGGCGCAGCGATATGCGCCCACAGGGCATCAACCAGTCCCGAGGCACCGGGTGCTTCTATCCACCTGCCAAGCACAGCTAGTCCCCGCGCCTATGGCCGATCGCATCCTTCCTGCTGACCTCCCAGGGGCGCCCCCTCCTCGTCCCACTCCAGACTCACCCTTGCCCGGGGACTCAGGCTCGAACCCGGGACCCCGCCCCGCTGCCACCGGCAGCAGCCATCTGATCGCCACCGAGACACCGCCTCCCATTGGCAGCCTGAAACGGTCACACTCACTGGCTGAATTCCGCCCCCCCCCCCGTAGCTATTGGTGTTTCGCTGGAACGGAGACGCTCCTATTGGTCTCCGGTTTCGCAGTTTTGCTCAACTACGATTGGCTAGGTAGTCCGGATGCACATCAGCGTCAGCGATTGGCTGGCTTGGCGTGGGCGGAGACGCGGAAGTGGCAGACTAGCACGCGAGAGAGGATCCATCCGCGGGGCTGCGATAACTCTTGCCCACCGGGAAGGTGGGTCCAAGTGACACTTCGGCCCTGACCTGGGTGCAAGCCCCTTGTCCTCACCTGGCTATCAAGGCTGCAGTCGGCCGCCATTCACGCCTCCAACCCCCTGCCATGTGTCTCCCGATTACATCCTGCCTCTCTGCCCTTGTCTCTGCCTGGCCATCTCCGCCTCGCTGGCTGAGACCTCCCGGCCCCCGACTTTTCTACTGGAGGCATTTCTGGCTCACCTGCTCGCATCCCTGTCCTGATCACCTGCGGCACTGTCCTGGGAGACTCCCTTGCTATCAAGTTAGCAGCTTGGAAGTCCTCACAGATCTGAGTTCAAATCCCCCCCACAAATGGTTGTAGTTTACTGGGAAGACTAGGCACTGAGCGTTTTGCAAACATTATCTCATTTGATCTTGGCAGCAGTCTTCTGGGGGTGCCTATTAGCCCCATATCTCAGAGAAAGAAACTGAGGCACAAACAGGTGACAGAGACTGTCTCCTTGACCAAGTTTATCTGAGCCCTCTTCTTGACTGTCCCTCGATCTTGGCCTGGGTCCTGTCTGTGGCCTCATCAGTACACTCCCAGCAAAGACACCTTCTAAGTCAACCCCTTTATCTTTGCTATCTTATCAAGTTTCTCCTCGCCCACCTTTGATGTATGAGTGGGTGGCCACTCTTAAGCAAGAATACTGGTAGGTCAGCTTGGCGAGAATCCCCTTACCTCTGATGTCTCTCCTTAATAATTTTCTGTCATGCACCCTCTTTCGCTAGCAATCCCCAGCTGTCTTTGCTGTACTCAGAGTTGAGCACAATCTCTCTCCCTTTTTGCAATCTCCCTATTGCAGCAGCCCTGAATAAAGTCTTCCTTACCGTTTTAACAAGTGTCAGAACAATTTTTTCTTCAATAGAAGTTGAGTACCTTTCCAAATTCACATAGCACAAAAGGGCAGGGCCAGGTTTATTTCTGGAGTCGCCAAGGGCATGTGGCTGCTCCTCCCTGAGCCTGAAAAAATAGGGAGAAAGACAGAGGCTTCTTCACAAGACAGCTATGGAGATTCAATTTGAAGTTGAACCTAACCCAGTACCTGGACAGCAGTGGATGCTAGGATCCTGGCGGGGGCTGGGTGATTCATCTTGAAAAGGGGGTACATGCACCTGGGAAAGAGAATGAGGGTCTGTTGCTAATAGGGAGGCGCCTCCAAAGTACCTATGTATTTTTTAATAAAGAAGAGGAATTAAAAAGAATGCCATGTATTTTATTGTGCCCACTCAGCCCATCTGTGGAAGGACTCATGAGAAAAATGGAAATATTCACTAGTTCAGAGGGAGAAATCTTAGGCTCTTCCTTACCTCCCCATTTCTTACATTGGCAAGATCTGCCTGCTTCTCACCCCTCCTGGTCTAGCCTCTTCATTAAACCCCTAGACTGATACAGTGCCTCTGTCCTCGTGGGGGTCTCCTGTCCTTGGTCCCCGTGTCTATCCTCTCTGAAGCAGCCAGAGAGAGCCTGTGAGCACTTGAGTAGAGCCCTGTCCCTTATCTGCTCAGAACCCTCCTTGATTCCCCCCTAACTCAAAGGAAAAGCTGAAGTCCTCTATCTGGCCGCCAGGCCCTGCACAAAGTGCCTCATCTCCCCCCACCTCTGCCCTCATCTCCTTCTCTCCCCCTTGCTCACTCTGCCTCAGCCACTGTAGCCTCCTCACTGTTCCTGCAACATACCAGCCACAGTCTGGCCACAGGACCTTTGCACTGCCTGCTTCTACTTCCTGGCGTACACTTCTTCAGATTTTCATATGGCTTCTCCCCTTTCTTTACTTAGATCTTCAAATACTAAATGCTGTCTTGGGCACTTTTTGACTTTATAAAAATATGCTATACATGTCCTTCTGCCACTTGGCTGTGTTTATTCAGTAATACATTCTTGAGATTCATTCATGCTGGCACAGGTGGCCCTAGAACACTCCTTTTCTACACAGTATCCTGTTCCACCTATGCAATTCAATTGCTCAAAACTTAAGAGTCCAGTCTCCTGTTGATGGCTCTCATGGGATTTTCCAATTTTTGGGTGTGAGAGAATGAAAGGGTTCGGGTTGCTCTGTTTTGTTTTTGGTGTAAAGCCACAGAATCACTTATCTTTTAGAGATGCAGGTGATCTGCCTGAGGCCTGATTGTACAGATTACAGAATTGTAAAGCCACTTAAATACACAATCCCAAAGGTCTCTTAATGCTAAGGTAAGAAATTGGCACTAATCGGGAAGGAATGCACTCCTGAAGTTTGGAATGGCAATATTATGCAGACACAAATGATTGAGCCCAAGAACTTTCAACTTATAGATGCCCTTGTCTGAAGGAATTGGCCCTTCCAGATACTGTACTGTAAAAGAAATATATATTTGCTCTTCATCCTGAATCCTGGTGCAGAGCTTCTAAAACACTGGTAACCTCCAGGGGGAGAGAGGTGATAGCAGCATCTTTTGTTATTCATAATAAGCCTCCTTCTATGTTACCTTTTATCATTTAACCTTACTGAGTTTATGCTTCGAAATAACTCTTAGAGGAAGGGGCTGGTTGCTAGGGGAACCAGCCATGTGATTAGAGGATCAGACCTTTCCTATCCAACCAGGGAGGGGAGAGGGGCTGGAGATGGAGTTCAATTACCAACAGCCAGTGATTTATCAATCAATCATGCCTATGTAATGAAGCCTCCATAGAAGCCCCAAATAACAGGATTTAGTGAGTTTCAGGTCTGTGAACACAGCCACTAACTGGGAGGATGGCATCCCCTAATCCTCAGGGACAGAAGCTCTGCACTCAGGACCCTTCCAGACCTTGTCCAGATCCATGCAACCTTTTCCTCTGCATCTTTTATATCCTTTACAATAAATTGGTACACTTAAGTAGACGTTTCTCTAAGCTGTGTGAATCTTTAGAGCAAATTATTGAATCTGAGAAAGGTTCTGGGAACCCCCAATTTATAGCTGGTGGGTCAGACCTACAGGTGACAACTGGGGACTTGTGACTGGTATCTGTAGTTTGTTGGGGTGGTGTGGGGGGGTGCTCGTGGGACTGAGCCCTTATCCTAGGTGATCTGCAATAACTCTGGGTAGGTAGCATCAGGACTGAGTTGAATTACAGAACACCCAGTTAGTGCCCACAGAAAACTGGGGAATTGCATGGTGTGGAAAACCCACATGTTGGGTGTCAGAAGTGTTTCCTAAACCATGCATTAAAAGAGAAAGCTTTTATGGGCTTCACCTGCAAGCCCAGTTTTAAAGAACAAAAATAAAACGAACAACTACCCAGGCCAAGAAATAAAGCCTCATCACTCCTTATTCTAAACCAGCAAACCCCATCTCTCTGTCTCTTCACCTGCTGTGATTTTATTTGGGGACTTTGTGACAACCTGACACTTTACTGGGGGTCTCTTTGAGCACCAGTGTTAATATCTGTCTTCCTTTCCAAAATGTCAGCTCCACAAGGGAGGGGTCTGCGATTCACCGCGGTGTCCTCAGCACCTGGAATTTGCCTGGCCTCCAGGCAGTGCCTGAAAAGCTGGTGGAGTGAACGGCCTCAGGAGCCAGCTGGGCCCCGAGCCACTGCGGAAGGGCTGGCCATGGCCTTCCGGCCTCAGCTTCCTCTCTGCCACTGGGGGTGCAGCTGCAGCAAGCTGAGGGTGCCAGATTCCTCAATAGCCGAGCCCGGGTGAGGTGGGGGGGTGACCGCCACTGGGCCACAAAGAGCCTGGTGGGCCCAGTGCCCACCACCCAGCAGGAACCAACAGAAAAATATCAGATGGGGTGACTAACAATAACGATGGCAATAAATCTGATAATAATAAACTATTATAACAGCTCGCACTGTGCCAGCCCAGATGCTGGGCCCTGGGCTGGGTGCTGAGAATTCTCTGAGCCTTTGCTGCTTCCTTTAAAGTGGGACCAGAGCCTGCACTTGACAGTTGAAGAAGCCAGAGGCCACCGAGGCCTGTCCACAGGGCCCAGGCCTCCTTCCTGAAGTACTCTGTCACAGACAGATGGCACCAGGCCCAGGAGGAAGGCTCTAGGTCACCCCGCCCGCTGTTGGGGTTTGCCCAGGACTGAGGGGGTTTCCCAGAGAGGGCACTGGGCAAATTGGAACAACTGGTCACGCTTTCTTCGTGGGTTTGCAGGAGGAAGATAAATTCGGGGACTCCCCAGACTCTGCAGGGCTGGGGTTGGGGGGCTTTCCAAAGCTCCCACTAGACAGGGAAAAGCCAAAAGCTGGTGACTTAAGAACAAAATTCTTTTGTCTCCTTTAGAATGGGAGGGGTCAGGGAATAGTCAGTCCCCCTCCCTGAAACAGCCATGAAGGAAGTCCTATACCCCGCCAAGTATGTTTGTGAATACCTGGCCTCTAGAAGCTTCCAAGAGCAGCCACAGACAGGACCTGCCATGCTGGCCCTGGGTAGAAACACAGGAGTCATACATACAAAGGTTGGAGCTGGAAAGTCTGAGTTCAAATCCCAGGCTGGCCACTGTGTGATCCTGGAAAGTCCCCTAACTACTGGACCCCAGTTTCTCCTTCTGCAAAATGGGGGCTAATTGAGGATCCATACTCAGAGGTGTGACACATATACAGCCAGGTGCAGAGTGAGTGCTATTTTTTTCTTATTGAAGTATAGT